ATAGTAAAAATTATAGAATTGGAAAGATTAAATCGTTTTAACAATTACGTTAAAATTTTAATATAGGTGGCATATCGTTCAGTGGTACAGCGTTTGATTGTTGGACGCAAGCTGAAAACTCTTTAGAGAAGACCAAGAAATTGAGTGCTTTGATGGGATGTCCTACAACTTCCTCTAGAGATATGATACGTTGCTTGAGATATCGTCCAGCTCGCGCGATGGTTCAAGCTACAAGTGAATTTATGGTGAGACTCGCGCCTTTCTTCTTATCTTAAAACAAGAATGCAATCCTCAGATGTAGAAAGAAGAAATTTGATTAATCCTATGATTTTAGCCGTTCTTCTATAATCCCTTTACTCCTTACGGTCCGGTAGTTGAGAAATTTGGTGACGAAGCACCTTTCATCGATAGAACACCCGTCGAAATCGTGAGTAGCGGAGACGTCCAGGATGTACCTTGGGTTACGGGAGTAACGAGCGAAGAAGGCCTTTATCCCGTAGCCGGTAAAATAATGATAGAATAATAAGAAAACTTCCTACTTCAATGACACACAGTTATTTATGAATATTAATTTATCGTAGAGTTTATCGCTGATGACAAAAATCTGAAACAGTTGAACGATAAATGGGATATTCTCGGACCGGATTTTCTTGACTTTAACTACACCATTCCGAAAGAGAAGCATGTCGAGATTGCTCGTCTCATTAAGAAACATTACTTTGGAACAAAACCGATAGATCGACAGAGTACGAAAGAACTGATACAAATGGCGAGTGATCGCTTCTTCGTGGTCGATAGCGAGAAGGCTGCGCGAATGCAAGCCAAAGTAAATCAGAATCCAGTTTGGTATCATTATTTCAGTTACAGAGGAGCGGAAAGTTTAAGCCACAGTTTCAGCGGTACCACTGTGAATTATGGTAAGTCTGTAAAATATCAATGCTCAATTACAAATTTACAAATAAATACAAACATATTTGTATTTTATAAAGAACCTTAATTTAAATTTTATTCATCTATTAGGAGTTTCACACGGGGACGATGTATTTTACGTATTAGACACTATCTGGTTAAATCCAACAACAACACAAAAAGATCGTAATATGCAGAAACACTTAATCGACTTTTGGGTATTGTTTGCTACAGAGGGGTAAATATGAAATATTTACATATTGAACGCAGTACATTGAACATGCACTTACGCAACACGAAAATTAACTAATTCTTCAAATTTTTTCAGAATTCCAAAAGTAGCCAATGTCGAATGGCCAAAATTAGACCCTTCAAAGAAAGAACTTCATTATTTACATATAGCTGCTCCCGATAAAATTAATATGGACAGCAGTGTTAATCTTGGAGAAAAAGAATTCTGGAATTCGATTCATTTTAATGAGAATGTATTGAAGCACACAGCTGGAATTAAAGGAGAGCTTTAAATAGAAAAAAAAACTTCTTTTCTAAAATAGATTTAAACTTTATTCAATTTTGATATTAATCAGTTTTATTTATGAATTTATATAAAATGTTATAAATTCATAACAATATTTTTCTTTATCCATAGCCTATAAAAATAATTGTAAACAAATAATGAAAAATGTAATGCTAAAACTTATTGTATAGTTTATAATAAAGCAAATTGCAAAGCATGTCCATTCTTGTAATCTCTTAATGTGATGAGTAAAATCAACTTTTAATGTTCCAATCTTCTTAATTACATGTAATAAAATATAAAATTGATTAAACTACTGCACATAAAAATTATTTTAAAACTGCAAAATATGAATATTTCAATATATTAAGTACATGGAAGAAAAATGAATTTAATAAATCCATTATTAAAAAAGAATCAAATATTTCATATGTGCTGGATGGAATAAGTATTTGATCCATCTATAGAGTTTTACTAAAATATTATAGAATTGAAGAATTCAAAAGTGTAATATTAAGACAATTATATTAAGTTAACAAACTCAGCACTTTCGTGTTTTATGTAAAATAATATCAATTAGTAAATTATTAAATTAGATTTTAAAACCAATGCACCTGATTTTCATTTACTGGAAAACGCGTGTGACAGTACATAGCACTGTCAGTAAGGATTAATCTCTAAATTAATAATCGAAATACCTGGATGTTAACAGCCTTAATGGTTATCATGTTAACTTATATTTTACGAAATCCGTTTCCTGTCTTAAGATGCCGGTTAAGATAAATTCTGTAGATTGTACTGTAACAGTATTCGGTGCTTTAGCGAGAAACTTTCTTGCGTTTGATAAATCTTCTTCACGTGACAAAACTATCGCTCTTTCAGGCCATTTAGTCGGTGGACGTAATAGAGCTTTTCCTCCGCAAGACGCTATTATATCTATAAAAATACAAATATAAACGATTGGAATTAAATGAATTTTATATAGATATAAAAAAAATTTTCTATCTTACGTTTCAACTCTTCTATAGGCGGTGGCGCTACGCTCGGCGTCAGTACAACGATGTAGCCGTCCAATAATTTTTTCTCCTTAGCTTTATCAAGACTCTTCCTTAGTCTGAAACCGAACTTGGCTTCAGCGGCGGGATCCTTCAATATATAATTTTCCCAATCTAGAAATCGCTCCGCCGTTTCGCTATCCTTTAACCAATCGATCGCCACTATGGGTACACCCTTCGCCAAAGAGCATAAAAATTTATACGTTCGGCGAACTTTGTCAGTAACTAGAACGGTGCAATTGGCCGGATCTTCCACTTTGACTCCACCTGTAAAATAAAATTGTCAATAAGTAAAACAACCGTTAATAATGTATTGCGAAAAAATTAATTCTATAATTTATTTAAATTACTCACCTAACGTTTTAATAAGCTTATTGTAATCTTCCGTTAGACCCGTGAACAAAACTTTATGTCTCATTGCGGATGACGTAGAAGTGTTTAAGATAGACGTACTCCTGCGCGTTCTGGAAGGTGTTGAAACAGGAGATGGAACTTCTACGCTTGCATTTAGCTTCGAGGCACTCTCATCGATTAGTCTATTTTGATTCGACTCTATCTTCTGCTTCTTTTTCATGCTTGCTGCCTTCGATCTTGAAAATCTAGAACTTGTTGAAGCGTCACTTCCCGTGCTGCTTTGGCTACTTTCACCAGTCGTGCTTCCTATGGAGGAATCAAGAATTGAACCTGTAGAATTCTGACTGATACGAGTAGGCTTCTTGAATGTTTCCTTCTTTGAGATTTGTGCCTCTGGCAGCGAAGAGACGGAACTTTTAGCAGACCTTCCGCGTTTAGCTTTCGGCGCAAAATTGTCAAGTTGCGTGTTATCAGAGTCTATCCCAGATGACACGCTACTCTCAGTTAAAACAGAATCAGTATCCGAATCGGGTCGTTTCCTGCTTCTGGTTCTCAATTGTCTTTGGAATATCTTCGCCTTATTACTTTCTCTGATCGATAAATTCTTATCCTGCGCATTGCTCGGACCTCTTGCCATAATTCTCTCGACTTCTTGCGATGCATCATCCGCGGGACTCTTTATAGGATTAAGCAGAACTCTCAGAACCTTGCCTTGCGTTTCTGTTCTTTTTATTTCAGCTAATTCGTTTTTCTTTTCATCATTGACATGTGTCGTAACTTGATTGTCATAAATTATACGCCTGGTTCGTTTAACGTTCGCTCTTCCAGGACCGACGTTTCCATCTGTTCCCGTATTTAAAGAGATCTCGTGAGTTTCTTGCAATGTAGTTTTAGATGCTGCTTTATTATCTTCAAGAAATTTCATATTTGTAGAAGAATTTTCACATGAATTCATTTTAGTAAACTGAAGGATATTCGGTGACTGTCTATCGGTCGCGGTTTTCATCGTATTTCCTCGATCGCGTGTAGAAACTGGACATTCCTCAGTGACTTGAGCTGTTTTACGTTTCTTCGAAATAACTTGCTCGCTTTTTTCTGTCACGTTCTGAGATACCTTTCTTTTAGCGATGGCAGATTTTGTTTCTAATTTTGTAGATCTGGTTGCTCCAGAGGCTGTATTTTTTATGCAAGTCTCTTTTTGAAAATCACGCAAACTCTCGTCGTTTTGTTTACTGGGATGTCGTTTTATCCTCGAACTGGTCCGCACAGAATTTTTCGATTCAACATCCATATTCTGCTTTGAATGTTTTGATAAATTTGGTGAGATGCGTGCACTTTCCTCGTTCTCCTCATCCTGTTGCTTCGGACAACTGAGCTTGTTGTTGAACATTCTGCCTGCCATTTGATGGAATCGTTTACGTTCGGTTTCACTGTCGGAATCGCCGGACGTGTCCACAAGAGTTGGCATTTTGTCAGTCATTAGAGTGCCAAGAACAAAATTTGAATGACTACCGGATGGCCCATTTTTCTCAGAATTTTCAGTATCACGTTTTCGTAGTGATTTTCCTCTCGAGGCTGTATTTTTTTTCGCTTTACTCCTTGCAGCGTTTCGTTTAGAGCTTGTACTACGTACAGTCGACGTCGATGACGCAGAAGGACTCGCAGGATTTGAGAGTGTTCCCGATATTCTAACAGCTGGTAAACGCATTAGAATGTCATCGTCATTCTCATACAATGTTTGCAGACGTTGTCCATTTTCCAATGGGCAAGGTGTACAAATCGGTGTGTTCTCTTCGGCATCATCGACGCCGATTTTAGCTTGATTACTCCCCAAAATCTGTTTGCTCGTTTCCGACGGAGCTTCATCTTTTCGTTTCGAACTTCGAAGACTTCTTCCGTTATTTTCACTCGAGATGATTTCATTCCTGCTATTGTCATTTAATGTTTCCGTTATTGCATCGGATTTGTTCTTTGGTATTCTTTTTCTTCTCTTGTCAGATTCCACAGCTACATTATCATCCATGGCTTTTTTATTGTTTGCTTTAGACGCCTGCGAAGAATTAACATCTTGATGAGGAGTTGTATTCTCCACGGAATCTGCGAATTCTTGTGTATCTCTTATAATATTTCTCTTTCGTCTTGTAGTAATAGTGGAAAAATAAACATCTTGCGAATCAGTCTCTGCCTTATTTGTCGCATTCGCATTTACTTCGGTACTCGGTAAATTATGCGAATGTTGATTAAAAGATGCACGATTTTTCTTTTGTATCTGCTTTTGTAGCACGCTACCTGTATCTCTAACGCCAGCGATGGTTTTATTAGCAGAGTCATCACATTGAGAAGATTCCAGAAGACTTTCCAAACATTGCGTCGACATAAGCGGCGACTCGTGAGAGTTATTGATATCGTTTACATCATCAAACATTTCATTAAGTTCTCGTTCAACAGTGTCATTTAAATTTACCCGAGTAGAGCCTGTTTTCGAAATGGAATTTTTTTCTTTATTTTTAATTTCACTGATTACTTGTGTAGGCGCAAGCTCATAATCTATGTCTTCGCAATCAAGATTTTCTGTTGTGCAATCGATCGATTTTGTGTTAATAATCTGCGTATTTGCCACATCATCCACATTTTGATTCTTTTTCGACGTACATGTTTGATCGCCCTGATCAACATCGCGTATAATTTGCGTCGGCGCCATATGATCAATCTCGGCGTCATTAATTTCATTAGCGTTTTCTGCTTGATTGGTTGAAGAATTCGTTGAAGCCTTAATCGTACGACAATCGTCTAATCGTTGCGTTGGTGCATCAAACATATCTTCGGATTCGATACTCGTGCCAGGGTCATTTTTATTACTTACATCTTCAGTAGATGGCTTATTTAAAGTTTTCGGAGATGTACACGGCTTCTTAGCCAGTTCTGCAACGTATTCCTCCGCGTCCGTTTCCGAATCATCGTTGGTTTTTTCCGATTGAGGCTTTCCATGCTTCTTCTTGGAAACTTTGCGCATTACTGGCACATCTTTCTCATCGGTCTCGGAATCCGACATTAAAGCTTCGAAGTTGCGTTGAGTAGGAGCTTCAAAAATGTCGTCGTCGTCGTCGTTATTCTCTTCGTCATTCACCACGTTTCTTTCTTTTTCAACATTACTATCCCTTTCCGATATCTTCGTAGATGGTTTTGGCGTGGATGCATTTGGGGCTTGCGCTTCTCCTTGCTTTTCAATGCCCTCGCTAAAGAACTCTAATAAATCCGACGACTCAAGTAGATGACCACTTTGGTTTAATGGCGACGAAGGATCACCTTCAACTCCTGGTGAAGATAAATTCAAAGATGCAGGACTATCGGATCTGGATCTCGGTGACTTGGTGATGTCTTCACGATTTATTCCGTCCTCACAATTACTAGTGCTTTCTGCACCGTTTTTATTTTTATCCTTGTTTACCTGATTATTACTAGTTTTATCTACCATAACATTCGCCTCAAGTTGAGTTTCCATGTCGGATATGTCTCTGTTTTGCTCGCTTGTTGCAATGCTATTTAATTCTACTTGAGTTTCTAAATCAGATATATCTTCCGCAATATACTTTTGCGTCTCTAAATCGTGAATGCGCTCGATATCAGCTGAACTTTTCTGTCGACTATTATTTTTATCGATTTCAGATTTCTGAACATTGCTGTCATCTTTGACAGTATCGTCAACGTAAGATTGCGTTTCCGTAACATGAATATCTATCTTCTTCTCTGTTACATTTCGAATATTAAGATTGCTCTTTTGAGTTTCCATTTCGTTAATATCGTCTATGTAGTTCTGCGTTTCTACATCGTGAATATCCGTTACAGATCTGCCAGCTGTTTTATCGCTAACATTTAGTTTTGACATTTGCTTGGTAGCATTCGCGTCTACAACACGCTCGGATATGTCAATGGGGCCTACTTGCGTCTCCATGTCATAAATAGAATTTGATGTCGTTTTGCATCCCTCCTCAAACGTCTGCGTTTCCAGATCATATATACTGGTTCGACTCTCGCTAACGTTAGTATCAGATGTGCGCAATGTAGTGATTCGCGAGTCATTACTTTCATTCATGGAGATTTTCTTTTTACCGACGCTTGTTGATGGCTGACATTGTTGCGGAATTTGCGGTCGTCGGAAGACACTATTCTCGTCATCTTTTTGAGTTCCAAAAATGATGGATCCATCACCATCCACACTAGATGAATTATTCTATACAAATGAATAAATATATTTTAATATTAGTTTCTTACTCCTAAGTTTTAATCTTAGCTCAATTAAAGCATATATTACATGCCGAACGCATGTAAAGCACTTACAAGAGATGAATCTGGTGTATTCGGAATTATAATATTTGCAGTTTTCTGTCGCGAAGGTGCAGGCGTTTCTGGTATCATTGAGTCATCAGTCGGACAATATGTACGATAAGTCGCACGCACTCTGCCAAATTCAATAACACTTCCATCTTTAAGTTCATACGAACGAGCGACTTGCAGTGTTAACTGTACATATAAAAACAAAGTGCCATTAATTCTTCAAAATTATTACAATATTTTTTTTATCACAGTCATCTCCAATGAAACGTTAAAGAATTTATATTATTTATATGTGTATACAAATGTTTCATGTGCAGTTCACTTAGAAATATTTCGATCAAATAGTTACGTCTGCATATATAAAAATAAGATTATTTTAAATATGAAACAAACACAGAAATCTATAATGCATAAAGATATGTAGTAACTATTACGTTATTAAGCTTTGTTTTGTTGGAAGAATTCAGATCACTCAACCAGGTTGATCCTTGACCTCCGCTAGCCTCAATTTCTGCATGTAGCTTTGACACTGTCTAAAAAATATATTCCAAATATTACAAATTTTTCTGTACTCATCAAATGCTTATTTATTATTCTTCTTTATATATGCAAAAAAGTAAAAAAACATGATGCAAAATTTGTACATCATAGTCAAAATCAATGAAGAGCTTCAAACAGTACATATTGAAACAAAACTAAATATTTCCTTCAAACTAGATTTTAAGTTTTATTCAAATATAAAGAATATAATCAATTAGACATATTAATTTATACAAATTATAAAATCAAAAGAACTTTTTTCATATCCAACTTTTATAAAAAATTATCTTCAATTTTCTTGTACAAATAATAAAAAAATATGTTAAAACTTACCACGTCATTAATAACAATGTCGCAGCTACCAAGTCTACCAATTTTTGTGATCCCTTTTTTAATTGGATAGTCAGTAGAATTAATGCTTAATGTTCCAACCTAAAATTATTTCATAAAATATAGAATATTTTGTTAAACTGTTATCCATAAAGTATCACATAGAAAATAAAAGGTTAGGAGAGAGAGAGAGAGAAAGAGAGAGAGAGAGTAATAATTCAATGTCAAATATTAAATTAATAAAAAAATTACGATTTATTGAATATATCAATATTACAAATTTACTGTAATAAAGTGCAATTTGTATAATTTCTCTCTTTCCTCAATTTTACATTTGAATATTAAAAAAGTAACAGCTTAACTATACTTAACCTGTACTGACTCTTCTTCCTCTAGTGCATGTGAAATTTTCTGAGTAAATAGAAAATCGTCATCCTCATAAACTTGCGTGGCCGCGAGATCCATTTTATTATCAATATTATCAAAAATTCTTGTTCAATTAAAATTAATTAATGCTCAATTGGCACCGGTACGAAGATTTTTCTCGACGCAATCTTCACCAATTCTCTTGATTCCAAAATAATTACACAAACAATGTACGAACAAACTTTCCATAATTAAGGACACTTTATATTAATAACACTTAAATGAACAAGTAACATTAACATCAAATGTAACACAAATTTCACATTATACATTACATATTTTAAACAAATGACAATTGCGTAGAGTGCATAGACGATTACAGCTTTTGCCGCCAACGGCGAAAGTGCGGAACGGTTCACTCCACTCAGCCCAGCCGTCAACACAAGCACGTTCAGAAAACATGTGTTTTGTCCAACTATTGGAAGTTTTCTTCGCGCTGATTGGATCATACTTTTAGTTCTAGTGAAATAATCTTAAGCCTACTCCGCAATAGCCGTAAACCGTTGAAATTGATCGTAGTCAAATATGAGAATATCATTTGTTATTAATATAAAGTCTCCATATTTATGGAATGTTTACTTGTATATTGTTTGTGTAATTTTTTTAAGCACTTAGAATTGGTGGAGGTTATGTCGAGAATAATCGATTACGATTGGTCAATTTCTTATGATTTGGGGCTCATTTCGTGTTGTCTGGGATAATATATTAATTTAATAAATAAAATAGTATTCTATTATCATTCTACTGAATAAATGAGATAAAAATATTAGTTTTTTTATCTATAAAATTATAAATTTCTATACGATAATACGATCTCTCTCCTCTCTCTTTCTCTCTCTCTCTCTCTTTCTCTCTCTCTCGTATATTCTTTACAATTTACACGTGTTGCGCAGTGTTGCTTTATGCATTCATAATACATACTAGTTATGCATGTATTTCACTTATTAACAAGCTGTATTTAAACATGAATTACTCATGCTAATGCAATGTCATTTATTTCCGTGACGACGTAAAGTAGCATGCAATTAAAATGCATTCTGTAAATTGTCGGAAATGTTTTAAGTCATTTTCCTGCGGAAGCCTTCGAGGTTAAGATGTGAAGAATGCTCACAAAAAGCTCGAGCAAAAGCGTTCGCGGCTGCTTTCAAGGATCATTTCGGACCGATTGAATCATCGCCAATTAATCCAAAGGCTGAAATTTCAAGCTGCGCCACGAGCCGATTGTAAAAACCATCAATTCTTCGTGACACGAATACAAAAAGAATTTGATTGAATGACGAGTATCCTGTGTACTGAAAAAGAAGCAAATTGCCCTCGTGTTGTCATTCGTAAACATTTTCGTGACACTTTGGCATCCGCTACAACCTTAGCTAACAACAAGTATGAAGTATAGTATTCTCAGTCAGAATCAATAGTATGAAGCTGCACACATGTTCTCTATACGTCTCCTTGTTACTTTCGCTCTGCATTCCCCATGGGTCGAGCCACAATCACTTGAGCAGAAGCTCCGAAAGACGTAATAATAGCGACTGTACCGCGGAATCTCCACTGCATGGAACACCCGCATCCCCAGGCACCTGTCACGACACTCAGGAAATTCAAGTTACGTTCTCCTCCAGTATAGTCGAAAATGAGTATATAATCAAATTCAACGGTTACTACAAAGCACGTGCACGAGAGAATTACATAGGAGCCGCGTTGAACTCATCCAATGTCAAAAACTGGAGGATTATACAGCGTAATAATGCAGCATCCGTGTATCCTAGTGACTTTGATATTGTGCACATTAAAGAGACGGACAAGTGCGAGGGGCTCGGGGCTCTAAGTAATCATCCACTTGTGAAAACTGTGTCGCCGCAGAGACTTATACGTAGAACTTTAAAATTTACTAATACATCGTCAAACGATTCCGATGCGTTAGCGTATAGAAGCCCCCAAAGAAAAATCAATGTAAGTTTACAAATTATAGAGATTTTGAAACTATATAAAATAAGAGAGCTACGTGCATCTGAGGTTGATATTAAACGATATATAAAATTGTTAAGGAAAAACTTGATTTCAGAATGTTCAGGCTGGACAATCGACAAATCGACACACATCTCGAAAATTATTAAGAGCTATACCGAAGCAAATCACGTATATGCTCGAAGCTGATATACTATGGAGAATGGGCATTACTGGGAAGGATATAAAAGTAGCGATATTTGACACTGGCCTTGCCGCCAGTCATCCACATTTTAAAAATATCAAGGAGAGAATAAATTGGACGAATGAAAATACTCGGGAGGATGGCCTAGGTCATGGGACATTTGTAGCTGGTGTCATTGCGTCATCCTCCAGAGACTGTTTTGGTTTTGCCCCAGACGCAGATCTTTATATTTTTCGTGTTTTTACAAATGCTCAGGTATCCCTCTGTTCTTCATGCTTCTCTTCTTTTTTGTAATTTGACTTGAAAGAATCTGAAATATCATCTGAAATATAACAGGTGTCTTATACCTCGTGGTTCTTGGATGCCTTCAATCATGCCATATTTCGCAAGGTGACGGTGTTAAATCTGAGCATTGGTGGTCCAGATTTTATGGACCAGCCGTTTGTCGATAAAGTATGGGAGGTTACAGCCAATGGTATCATTATGGTATCAGCAATTGGCAATGACGGACCTTTGTATGGGTAAATATTTAAAAAATATTTTCATTTTTGTGGAGTTTATTTAAAATAAAAATAGCTTCTCTATTTTCAAAATGACAAGTCTTTCAATCCATGTTAATCAAACATGTTTTACTTAGTTTAGCGAGTATTATATGCCTTTTAAGATTTGAATTTTTTTTATGTATTTAGAAAAACTATAAATATAATTAATTTATATTTGTATTATAGCACTTTAAATAATCCTGCCGATCAAATGGATGTGATTGGTGTAGGAGGCATCAATTGGGATGATCAAATAGCAAGGTTCTCTTCGCGCGGTATGACTACATGGGAATTGCCTTATGGATATGGTAGAATTAAACCTGACCTAGTTATATACGGATCAGGAGTAAGAGGGTCTGCTTTACAGAACGGATGTAGAAGTCTTTCCGGCACTTCTGTTTCTAGTCCTGTTGTTGCTGGTGCGGTTGCGCTATTAGCTAGTGCATTTGTAGAAGTAAATGGATCTAAAACTAATAAAGAGAAGGTAACTACGATTTTTCATGTTTGTGCACCGATACGAATATCATTCTGCAGAATATTGTAGAAAAATGAAGTTCTATTGCATCTTGTGCTTAATAAGTAATAAATGTTTGCAAGGTAACACCAGCAAGTATGAAACAAGCGTTGATAAATTCAGCCCGTCGCTTACCTGGAATTAGTATGTTCGAGCAAGGTGCGGGAAAATTAGATCTCTTGCGGGCGTTTCACTTTTTACAGTCGTACACTCCTGTCGTTACACTCTATCCAAGGTAAACTTTTATAAATAATGAAAAAAATACGTCTTGTATTTTATTTTTTTTTAAATCTTGATAAAAAATAGCCACATAATTCATCCTTAAGATGAGCCCAGAATAAAGTCTACATCTTTATTTTTCTGGGAGATATGAATTTTTAAACATTGGGGAAAAGAGGCTTCAATCGCCGGTAACACACCAATTTTAATATAGGATTGTATTTAATCAATCTATCGATTTATATAATGAATTAATCCCGTACATTAAATATAATAAAATAATCAGATAAAATAAATAATGGTAACACAAGTATGCAAGACCGATTAAATCTTGATACGATGCAATAATTGATTTTGTTTCTCTATTAATATTTAGCTACATAGATTTGACGGAGTGTCAGTATATGTGGCCATACTGTACTCAAGCTATATACCATACTGGCATGCCCACGATAGTCAACGTAACTATAATCAATGGTCTGGGTGTGGCTGGAAATGTAGTAAATCTCACTTGGCATCCGTATGCCGGTAACGGCAATGGTGAACATATTGATGTAGCATTAACGTATAGCGATGTTTTGTGGCCATGGTCTGGCTGGTTAGCAGTCGCTATAACGGTCCCACCTACGTCTCGCGACTGGCAGGGCATCGCACAAGGTTTAAACATTAATTAATCATTTTTCTCGTGAATCGATTTGTATTTATTATTATTATAGATTATATTTCTGTGCAGGCCATATTTCACTCACGGTTGAGAGTGATGGCGCAGGTAAGCCGCGACAGTCAACGGTAACGCTCCCATTGCAGGCGAAAATTATACCCACACCTCCTAGACAGTGAGTAAAAGTACACACAATGTGCTAAACAATCAATACTTTTAAATGTAATGGCTAAACATGTTTGTATGCGCGGATTTAATAAATTTTAATATCTTATTATCTCTACAGTAAACGTATCTTGTGGGATCAGTACCATAACTTGCGATATCCACCCGGATATTTCCCTAGAGATGATTTGTGCGTAAAAAACGACCCTCTTGACTGGAACGGAGATCACATACATACTAACTTTAAAGACATGTATCAACATTTACGCAATGCCGGATATTATCTTGAGGTGCTCGGCCATCCGTTCACCTGTTTTGACGCGAGAAATTACGGAACCCTGCTCATCGTAGATACAGAGGAGGAATTTTTCCCTGAAGAAGTATGCATTTACGTTTTATAAGATCAGACTTGTTTCTATATGGCTCCTCTGTATATACATGCTGACGTGATTTGATTTCGACTGCAGGTGACAAAGCTAAAACGTGATGTGGAAGAGGACGGTCTATCAGTAATTGTATTTGCAGACTGGTACAATATATCAGTCATGCGAAAAATCAAATTTTACGACGAGAATACCCGTCGATGGTGGATACCCGAGACGGGAGGTGCCAATATTCCAGCTATAAACGATCTGCTTTATCCTAATTGGGGCGTGGCATTTAGCGACGAAGTACGAAACGGTCAGTTCACCCTTGGCCAACATGCGCCAGTCACATTCGCGTCTGGCACTACGTTAACTAGGTAAAATATTTTGCGCGCAGGGAAACTGGTTTAGATTGTATACAGCAGATTTCATATTTATTCAGATTTCCAAAGGATGGAATCGTTCTGTATGCAGAGTTGTACGATCAGGGACAAGAGCTTCTGGATAAAGAATCAGGGACACCAGCGCTTGTACCGATACTCGGACTTTTACAAGTGACTAGTGAGAAAGATGTTGAGATGGTACGTGATAGTAAGATTGATAACGAAGCGCAAGCAGATCAGAATGATGAAAAGAATTATGTCAAAGAACAGACGAGTACGTCCGGTAGACTCGTTGTTTATGGGGATTCAAATTGTATCGATGACAGCCATTTACAAAAATGTATGTATTACAAGAAAAAATGTTAATGAAAAAATATTTTAAATATTGATAAACATTTTACTTTAGAAGATATTTCAAATTTATTTCTTGAAAAATTTTTAACTTCTGAATTGTGTGATTGCATAATATTTGGATATTAGATTATTAAAATGGTGTTAATGTCCATTATTTAGCTTGTTTTTGGATGCTCGACGCTATCTTAGAATACACAACAACAGGCTACGTACCTACTGTTTTTATGGATGAAAACCATAGAAAGCACAAGACTGTCAAAACAACCAGTAATATAGAGATTGGAGAATTACCACATCGAATGAAGGAAAATCATTTTAATCGTCATAGTAAAGTATTAATAACTAACGAGCCAGCAGGCAATTTCAGATCTCTTCCATTATGTATCACCCCTGTCTACGCTGTACCTGTACCAGTCAATGAATCTGTGCCAATGTAAGTAATTTCACACGCACATATAAATGTGCAATCCAGATACATTTCGTAAACTTCTTTTCTTGTTCGTATCTTGATTTCGGAAAAGAAAATGCTAGAAGAAAATCACCGAGAATTACATTTAGTCTGACGTTTTAAAATTGCATTTCCCAATTGTCCTATAATTGTGGAGGAATAGAATAATCAGAGATCACAGCTAAAAATGGATGGCTCTCGTGTAAAATGTTTATGCAAATTATGTACTTATTTTATTAGTTGTTTTTAAATTTTTGTGAACGTATTTGAATATCCTTTTTTTTTCATCTCTTTTTTCTTCACAGAGAACTTTACAAGCCTCAGAAGCTGCTCTCTACGGGTGATACCATGAGCGCAGTAAATTCGGTACTGCAGGATACAGACACTTTGTGGCTTAAGAGACGAGTTGGTGGTGCTAGTATCCCTGTAATATTGGATCATTTCGATACTGACATTATGACTTACGACACGAAAGAAAATCAGGGAGAATATAAAGTGATCGTGTATCAATGGAGTTACGTAATAGTAATAGTAATTATGGTGATAGTTCTCGTGTATCTGTGTAATTATTTGGGCTTGAACAGACACTCGCGCAGAAAACGTGCTATACTCAGAATATTTAGAGCCATTCGAGCCTTGATTGTACGTAGGATACCTGCGCAAATGTAATTTAATAATTTCGCGAGAACTATTATTCATGTATTGTACATACATAAAAGTTAATATAACGTTTTTAGAAAATTGATATATAGGTTTAAATTTCAAGAAATTGATATTGCAAATTAGATTATATTATGTGCCTTTAAGACATACAATATGCAATGAATTTGTAGATAATGTAAATTATTTTGATATAAAAAAAGAGTACACACTATTGGCTTTAATTTTACTAACCTATGATATTGCAAAGGAGATAGCATAATATTATAAATAATATTAAACATATTTCGCTTATTTGTATATTTTAAAATCTCTAAGTCATTAGGATATAATATATAATCATTTTTTCGCTTTTTACATCTTTATCTTCTAATTAAGGAAATAATGAATAATTTCTAGCCTTACTTTACATACATCAGTTATAAAATGGATTATAAGTAACCCAATGCGCTCTATCTTGCGCCGTAGCAGATTTATGAGTGGTAAAAATACTTTTGAAGACTTCTGATGCTTTGGGATCCTTCGCGACGCTGTAATCACTTTCAGCCTTTTTATAAGCAGGATCGTTGGCCTCTTTATGATTGTTTAACTTGGGGATTACTTTGTCCTCCTTCTTTATCTTCTTTTTGGGCAATTCATCCGTCTTTTCTTCCGTCGACACATCATCGTCCAACTTCTTCTTCTTCTTTGATTTCTTTTGACTAGCTTTCCTGAGTACCGCTCGCTCCTTCATGAGATCCAGATCCTCATCTTGCGCATTTAATATGATTATATCCGTCTCCTCAAACGGTTGCTGACATTTGTGACACAACTGTGAAATTTAATTTTTTTTTTGTTAAATTCAGTCAGTATTTATTTCAGCGACCTTATAAGTATGGACTGGCAATAGCTTCTGCTAAGAAGCAGCGTCTACAGAAAGTTGGAGAGACAAATGTGCTGTTTAAGTAAGTTCTCAAAAGTGTCCGGAAATATACATTGCGTATGCCAGTGAAACATGTGTTGGTCACGTGTTATGACCTATGTGAGCACAATGAAAATGTATGCCCCAATCAGAATACATCCAATGTATGACGTGTGTCGACTTGCGCGAAATGTGCTTCCGGACACTTACAGAAAGAGAAGTATGAACACGATTTTACTTCTATTGCCAGTCCCTACAAGGTCTGAGATTTCAGCTATACAGATACTGGATACTTTACTTACTGCGCTCTTGACTTCTTTGAGAGCGCGTTCGCTCATCACACAGCCGCATGACCATAAGAAGCAGAATTTATATTTCCCGTTCATCTCCAAACCAATAACGGGACAAATATATGGGCTTCTGCCGCCGTTGTAACCGTCCCCCTTTTCTGCCTTATTGCCATCAAATGCTGGGTTTGGCGTCAAATTGAGGTTCTTCACGTCCTTCAAGTTCTTAATGTGTACCGCAGATTCCGGAAGGGTACCGCGATCCAAAAGACCTTCCAATACAGATTCTTTGCTGTAGAGGCGACCCAAGCTGCAACCCACGATCGGTGGTTGCAGTGGCAATTGCCGTATCGTACAATGCTTCCACTTGAAAGCTAACTCTGCCTCCTTGTCTTTCTGCAAATAATTGATACACAAACGTATAAATATGCGCATATAATTACTTAGAAAATCTTAAATACTCTGGCAGAAGATTCAATAAAAAATTAAAACTCCGAACGAGAGGTTATGGTTTACCTGCTCCGGTTTCTTTTTCACCCTGACGAGCTCGTCTCTGCGAGGAATGGTGCCGCCGTCGCAACCCATGATGCTTCACAAATATATCTCGATACACTTTATACTCAAATCGTACAAATATATTCCTTTACCTTTCTGGATTTTGGACGCTACGGAATGCAACTATTTTTATTTACAGAGGCGCGACGCGATCAGGAAACAGAAATGGCGGCGTACTACATCTACATATACATATAACCTCTCCTCCCACACTCACCACACACACACGTACCTACACAACACAGTGCTGCCAATAGCTACCATCAAACCTCTCTTCGTATGCGATATTCGATTCGCCTTTGTTCATCCGATCGTCGCGATTTTGTCCGATCGACGAAGCGACAAACAACGATAAACGACAGCGGACTTGCAGATCGGATCGCAGGGTGCGACTTCGATCTCGGCGTGGCGTTCTCGAATCGACCGTCGAGAACGGCGCCATTGGCGACCCTGGCCGCGCGGAGTCAGCTGACAGCGTTGTCAGGCCGTGCGGGCTTTAGTTGTCGGGCGGGTCGCAGGGCAGCAGCAGCACACGCAATCTGTCATCACGTGAGCGGTCACAATGGTCTCTGATGGTCCCGTCGTCGGCGAGCAGCGTCGTCCAGCTCGCGAGATCTTCTGAAGTCTCCACGGTGGAAGGCCGAGATCTGGCGCAGACCGATCGCACAGCATCGACGACGACGACAACGACGTGGAGGAGGCTCGGCAATCTCCCGCTGGTACGTATAGTCTCTGATGCGTTTACGTTTATCTCGACGAGAGACGCACGGCGCGGGCGCGCGCATACCGATCTTTTCGAAGCGAAATGTCATATATCAGATAAATCGACGCTGCCGTAAACGATTTGTACATCCGCGAATAAATAAAGAGATTCTCGGCCCCGATTCGGGGCCGTGGTGCGTTCACGCTCCTCTCTACGCCCGCCGCCGACGCGTCGTCGCGCGTTATCGATCCCCTTCGAGACCTCCGCCGACGCCATTGGATGAAGACGGCGGCTGTTTTTCTTTCCCCCCCGGTCATTCTGTCACGGGACGTGTATCTCTCCGAAAATTTCTGTCCCATGATCTCGCCCGAAGACTCGTCCGTACTCCGTCTCTTGACGTCCTGCCGTCGTCGTCGCGGACGAATGTTACTTCTCTCTCTCTCTCTCTCTCTCTCCGCTCTTTTTCTCTCGACTATCGATCGGTCGGTGGATACACCGTGGGCCGTTCGTTCGTAGGTACGTACGATCACGTGGAAAACGCGCCTAATTACATAACAAGCAGACGCGCGATGCTCCTGCCGTGCCACACCCCCTTCCGTGCGGCTCGTCCCGCAGCCGCGAATTCCCGCGAATTTAATTCACCCTTCCATCCGATGGCTAAATAATCGCTCGTTCGTCTCTCTCTCTCTCTCTCTCTCACTCTGCTCTCGAACGGCTGTCTCCTGCGCAAATGCGCATAGCGACGCAGTGTGCACTTGGTTTCAATGGATGACAGGATGGCAGCAGGTGGTTGTCTGGAAGAGATCAACCCTTGTATTTACCGGGTTTTAATTACCCTTGCATTTAACTCCATATATTCGTAAAACGCATATTAAGTGATATAAAAGCGAGTTTTGTATGTAAAATTATTTTTTTATAATACTTGAGTAATTTATAATATTATGCATTACGCTTTTATGCATATACTTATTTTAATTTCTCTCACGAAAATGAACAATTGAGTAATTACATGTGTATAATATGTGCTAATATCCTATCAAAACACAGAAATTCTTTTGGAATATTCTCATATTTAGAGTTAAGGTGGCTTAAGAATTTTGAATTAGGATCGTGATATCGTCGTTGTTTCAGGTATATTAGAAATTTAATCGCAAAACACACTACCCAAGATGACGGAATATTGGCTGATTTCCGCGCCAGGAGACAAAACCTGTCAGCAGACATGGGAGACTATGAACAATTTGACATCCAAACAGCACTCTCTGTCGGTGAACTACAAATTTCACATCCCAGATCTGAAGGTCGGCACGCTCGATCAGCTGGTCGGTCTGTCGGACGACTTGGGCAAGCTTGACGGATACGTCGAGCAAGTAACACGCAAAGTCGCGACGTATCTGGGTGAGGTTCTGGAGGACCAGAGAGACAAGCTGCACGAGAACTTGATGGCCAACAATAGTAAGTAGAAGAAACACCTGTCTCGTTATCTCTTGGGCCTTTATTATTCTTTCGACAATATTGTCCACATGATGGAGTATCAAGTTGTTTATCCAGGGGTCCAAACAGTTTGCATTTATATTTTTCTATTCGATCAATTTTATATTTGTCTTCGGTATTGAGCAATATTCAATCTAATTAATAACATACGAAAAAATATCAGTTCCATTTGTCAATGAATATTGCGAGATATTTCACATTTATTCTGGTAGATCAAACTTGTATTCTCTATCTTGGTAGAGAGCATACAGAATACAGGTACGCTGCAGTTGATTGGAAGATGCGAATTTATAGAATATTGCAATCCACACTTTGTTCAGTACTTTGTTTGGATAAGTGTGCATTGCGCATGTGATATGCAACCTTATTAGAAAGTCAGTTTTACGCATTTATTGCCGGTAAAAAAAATATTTTGGACCCTTGCGAACAGGTATCGATCGATTGTCTATGCATCATTTTCTTATAATGCTCTTAACATAGAGTAATACATCCTGTTGGATTAACTAACGCACCAACGAATACTATACACGACACGAAACATGCACACTACTTCGAGTACCTTACCTTTTTTGTCAATAATCTTCGATGTCTATCAGTTATGATTAATTCAGATTTTACTTGATTTGTTCGAGATAACAATGAGTTCAATTTTAGAGAAGTATGATCCCTATTTCTCCCCACAATACCCCATATCGTAGTTGGATAGAATGAGGCTCGTAACAATTTTGTCTGTATACACAAATAGTACGTACGAAACATATGATATGTTGCATAATGTTAGAACATTTCTGCATGTTTTAATAGTTTAATTAGGTGGATACAGACAGAATTTTCCTGTAGAATATATGTATTAACATCTACGTATATGATGCATATTGTAAATTGAAAAAAGACTATTTAAATTTTTTTTATGTTGTCTATTATAATATCAAATAATTATATATTCTTGTTGAAATGAATACTTTAATATACTCTAATTTTATATATAATTACTAATTATGAATCACTAATGATATGCTTCATATAATAGTACATCGTTGATATATTCGTAGAATGCTTATTTACGTGTTTTGTTGTTTCCGTTTATTATCTACTACAGACTAATTATTTCTAAATTTGTGATGTTGCTTGGCTTACCTTTTGTTTAACTTTGACCACATTAACCCTGTTTTCCCACCCTTTTTATTATTTTATTAATAAATGCTCGTACATATGCACTACGCAAAAGTCTGTATTGAGGTATAAAGGAAAAAAAAAAGATGAGTCTTGTGACATGAATAACGTAAGATAATATAAAGGACAAGCGAAACAAAAAAGTATATGGACAGATCTGGAATTACCGGACCACACGCGTGTCGGAAAAATAAAATTTTCCGCAGGACGCAAGAAGTTGCTTGGGTTACTGTGGTCACCAAGCTCTGATTAGCCACTACAAGATTTCATTTTCCTTGGTTCTGTTATCATCAGTCCTTCTTTCATATTACTATCTGTTTGCGATGCACCGTATGATTTCGAGTTCGCGGTCATTATTATTCTTTTACTTTCCAGTATATACATTTCGTGAATATTATCTATTATATTCTCTCGAATATTCCTTTTGTTGCTTAGTTTTTCTACTTCGTCATTGTTTTCGCAATATATTGGAGTATTTAACGTCTAATAAAATAATTAATATAAGAAATTATATTTTATATTTTATGTATGTTAAATCAGAATTTTAACTTCTTTTCTGAATTGAACATTCAAACTAACGCATAAAAATAGAAATTATGGCTATTCACAAAGTAAAGGGTTTTTATGATTATATAAATTTACATCTAAAAATTGTAGAAATAAAAGTGTTTCTAAAATAGAAGAAATTTTAAAAGTAGAAATATTTAAAGCGTTAGGTGATACATAAAATTATTTTGCAATGTAATTGAACATTGTATTATTTACTTAAAAAAAAGTTTGCTACCTTATCTTTTTATATCAGACTATGTCTATATACATTTTGGAACAACCGAGTTTGAAAAACCGAGTTTAACGAGATATTAAATTATCACTGAAACCGACATTCAAATCCGAATTTCGTCATTCAGGTTGATTAAAGTAAGATGATCTGCGCTAAATACTCCTTGTTTTCTTCTCTTCTTGAGTTGTTTTTCATTCAGTTTCGTCAGCATTGTCGTTAGGCATTTGCATAGGAGACAATAATAGTTGAACAAGACAATAAAAAAGATCGCGCGGAGATTGGGATTGGGCTGTAATGGATAGGTCAAACATCAATGGATGGGGAGAGCTTGAGCCCCGAAGGGGGTCCGGACACCCCGCCAAACACCCCTGTTACACCATCACACAAGACTACGGTGGAGCATCACAGGCAGTGGAGGGAATTGGACAAGTCCGAACCAGAGCCGGCCGCCTGTTTAGGTCAGCATCATCACCAACGTCATCATTGCCACGACCATCATCATCATCACCACCATCATCATCATAGCTCCCATAAGCATCACCATGACGGTCATTTCCCCGCGTTCGAAAAGAAGCTGTCGTACGATCTTCAGGGCATCTGTGATGTCAAAGCTCAGCCCAACAACTATGCCTCGTCGATATATTCATGCTACCATGCCCATTGGTGCGTTGCTTCTGTATCCTCGACGCCACGCTCCAGTCCCATTCCCGCGAGTCCGACCCTCTCCTCCCTCTCATCGAACTGTAGCAGCGAAGGAGAGCTCGGGTGGCAGCAGCCGTTACGTCCGCGGACCACCACCGAGAATGATCCAGATCGATCTACTCGCAAATCGGTTGGAGGTGATGATGACGACGATGACGATGACGATGCGGACCAAAACAACGACCAAGACCAAGACCAAGATCATAGTGGCAATTTGCCGAATCCAGGTACCCGTCCTGCCACTGCCGGCCGATACGAGACCGTCGTTCCTTTCTCTTTTTCCTCCTCCTTCTTCTTGATACATAGCTGCAAAGCTTTGTTCGTCCCGTGCACTACGTGTCTCGATGATCTAGCGACTTAATCATTATCGTGTTTTCCTGGGAGGTAAACGCAGAAAAAATTGATAAAAAACAGAGAGAGATTGTCAGAATAGAAATACTCGTTATAATTTACAGGATGGTAAAAACACTTGAAAAAATCTGGAAATAAAAGTAGAGAGAAAAAAAGAAGTAAAGGAAAAATTTTTATTATAGTTTCAAATTTTATATTGTAAATATAATATAGACAAACTTATATAGTTTAGTTATTTTTTTTAATGTTAACTTTGTATTTTATACATTTATATATTTAGATCATAAAATTTTGTGAAAATATACATGTAAAATGTTTTTATTTTAAACAAAAATTATTTATTGTTGATTTTTTAATTTTATATTATTTTAGTTTACTAATTTAAATTACTATTTTAATCGTAATATATTTTAATTATGTAAATGAAAATATAAAAAGAACATTATAATCTTTTAATAGTTAATAAGGAAACAGCAAAAAAAATAGACAATCTCTCTTTCGATTAACACACTTTTGATTGAAATTGAAATTAACACATCTTTTTCGGAGTTCTGGTCAAAGACATTTTTCGATTGCATTTATTTAATGAATGATTAAATAACCGGAAGCTATTAAAGGAGAAAATTCATCATTTCGTAGCACATCCTAATTATGATGAGTGTGCATATCTTTTTTTCACAATTGATTTTCTTCAAGAAATTCCGCTGATGCATCTTTGGTTTTTGGCTCGTTTGTCTTCACTCTTCCGTCCTATTGATTATAATTATATTACGATTTTACACAATCGTTACATGAACGTGAAAAGCTCAGTATCCCATTTTGTGGTGAATCGATTTGCATAATGTATATATCTGGCTATCCAGTTCCGGTTAACCAGACAATTCAGCTTTTTCTCTTAATTTTGCTCTCTTTTGTTTCTCTACAGCTTTCGTGTATCGCTTCTGCTCTCATGAGTTATTGCAACTTTTTGTTATTAAATATGTAAAATAAATTATATTTATTATACACATGTATGATTTATATTTGATATCATTTACGCATATGTGTAGGATATAATTGAAATAAGTAGGAGTAAACGGCACAGAAAGGAGAAACGACGAGAGAAATGTAACTTAAATGTACCCAGAAATCTTTTACATATTTTTACCCCATTTCCAATCATTTCATCCCGACTTATATTTTTGTTTTTTCTAATATTGATCTTTAATTCCCATTTTAATGTTTACTATAATTTCAGTTAAAAAAAATCACATTATAAGCACAGACGATAATACATACAAAACAGTGGTATTATAGGTAGTAGCACAGATCACAGCACAAATAGCATTAGTAGAAACTAACGAATATTTTTATCGATCGGTACATGAATTTATGGCTAACACTACTTTGCATGATTATTGGAATAGATTTTAGTAAGAAGCAAATGCGCTTCGTAGCTCCCGTATGTAATTTATGTTGCTCTTATATATAGTATAAGAGATACAAGAATCCTATATCACATATCCATTTTTAAGAAAATGGAATAATGTACTATTATCATTTTATGCGTTCAATTATCACAAACTGCTTATTTATTTTAGCTGTTTCGCTTATTTCATTATATTGCATTATTGCACATTGATTTGCGATGGCTAATCATATGTGTTAGTGATAAAAGTCTACATATATACCTGTGAGGAAACGTGCAGAAAAAGGTATACATATTAGTTTATGTTACTGTTAAATATAAATTTTCAAGAAATTTCGTGACTTAGATATTTTCACATTTAATACATATATCTCTTTTTTTCTCAAATGTACATGAGCATCTTTTTTTTATGCAAACGCATTGAACGCTAAAATTTCTTTGAATTTATTGAGCATGTATGAACAGAAACGTAACTTCACAAATATATGTATGTATAAGAAAATAATGCAGATAATTGCGAAAGTGAATATAATTAATAATATTTTCTGTAACATATTTCTGCATTATAAATATCATGCACAGAATTTTGCAAATACTAAATTTTATGTATAAATAAGTATAAAGTTTGGTTATGGATTTGATTATTATGGGTTGCATGATATACTTTGTGTATGTCCTGCTTCTTTCTTGTAATGCTAATGATGAATAAGCAGCATTGTAAAATCAAGAAGTTGCTTGTGTGGAAATCATTTTTTCTTTATTTCACCATTTTGAATATTATTCTTTTAACAATATTATTTCAAATAACGTTTGGGTTTGTTACAACAAAAAGAAATATATATCAAGCATTTGTATATGTTGATAATATATGCAGAGCTTAAGAAATATATAAATATTAAATTTATTAAAAATTCCACATTTACTACTTGTAGAGCTTACACTTGCTTATTGATTATGCGCTAAAGAATATAGAAATATGTTCTAAAGCTCTGACTATAAAATTGCTTCTAAGATTTATCCTGTCAAAACAATTGGATTAATACTTAAAATTTACTAGGTGATCTGCCATCATATATAACTCGATTCCAGTGGGACATGGCTAAATACCCCATCAAACAATCTTTGAGAAATATCGCAGATATTATCAGTAAACAAGTGGGACAAATCGATGCTGATCTAAAAACTAAATCCACGATATACAACAATTTGAAAGGCAGCTTACAAAATTTAGAAAAGAAACAGACGTAAGTTCTATATGTTTTGAATTGAATGTAACCGACAATTATTAATATGTCACTAATGTAACAATTTAATCTGCAACAGGGGGAGTTTATTAACACGAAATTTAGCGGATTTAGTGAAAAAAGAGCACTTTATTCTGGACAGTGAATATTTAACTACTTTGCTCGTGATTGTACCGAGGTGAATACACACACATTTACAGATTTTTTTCTTTTTTTTCCACGTATGCTAAAGTCTTTAAAGCTGTCATGTATTGAATCAGTGAATAATATGAGAAATTAGCGTTTATGTGTACCTTACGTTTTTAGATCCAACTTTCAGGAATGGTACGGTTGTTATGAAAAACTGACAGATATGATTGTACCGCGTAGTACACAACTCATTACTCAGGATTCAGAATATGGACTGTTCACGGTCACTTTATTTAAAAAAGTAATGGATGAATTTAAATTGCATGCTCGTGAAAAGAAGTTTATCGTGCGAGATTTTACATATAATGAAGAAGAATTAGCAGCAGGTTTGTCATAATATTGAGATTTTTTATAATTATTTTAAAATCAACACAAATAACATTAGACATCTTTAGAAGCTCAGGATGTATATAAGAATATATATGCGTAAAGAATAAAATTAAAGGAACATTATAATGAATAAAATTTATCTTAACATTACATCTTATTGCAGGAAAGAACGAAATTACGAAGTTGGTAACTGACAAAAAGAAGCAATTCGGACCACTTGTCCGTTGGTTAAAAGTGAATTTCAGTGAATGTTTTTGTGCTTGGATTCACGTTAAAGCCTTGCGTGTATTTGTTGAATCTGTTCTTAGGTACTGTGCACATTAATATGTTTTACTGAGAGAAATGCGATATGATTGAGCGTCACCTGTTGTAATAAATATGATTTGTAGATATGGCTTACCTGTCAATTTCCAAGCAATACTACTGCATCCGCATAAAAAGTGCGCGAGGAGATTACGTGACGCTCTAAATCAGCTTTACGCTCACTTGGATTCATCCGCTACTGGTTCAACAGCACAACATAGTCAGGATGTAAGTAAAGCTATACGTATAAAATAGTCACTATTTTATTAAAATTAGATTAATATTTAATTATAATTTTGAAGCTTTATCTATTAAATTCCTGTCATTCTTTGTAAATAAATATTACTCTTTAGAATAGCCCTTATATACATGATATATACACAAAAGAACATGTTTCTTTTTTTACGCAAAAAACATATATTAATTGTACTTATATATATAACATTTTAATTTTAACAGAATGTGGATATACCAGGACTCGGCTTTGGCCAAAGTGATTATTTCCCGTATGTCTATTATAAAATCAACGTGGATATGGTTGATAGTAAGGTCTAATCAGATAGAGCCTGCTTTTTTCTCCCAAACGTCGTACTTCCTTTTATTTATCCGGATGATATAATTCTATTACATCAGAAATCTAGCGATAGATCTAGCGTACAAGTTTCTCACTTGTACTAATATGTAAAAAGAACACTGCATTTCCTTCCGATTTTTTTTTAGCTATTACGTTTATCAATTACGAATTGTAATTTGCTACAAATTACGGACAAAATTGTCACGTAGTCTTTTGCAGAAATAGTTATTTTTCTAAACTGAAATTGGAACGATGTATAAACTGTAATATTATTCGAAACTATGCATAATGATTTGTGCATTCCCTTATACATATTGCCCCAAAGTATTAAGCATAAAGCAAGTGAAGTTATATACGATAAAGATTATAAATTCTCAGGCAATTACCATCAGTCACATACTTTAGAGACTTGTAGTTACAAATTTGGCATCAAATATCTGTGACAGTAATCTAATTGACTCTGTTGATATACTCCTTGATATACTTGGAAAGAGCGCAACATATTTTACACACTAACGCGACATAAAAATGCATACCATTTCTAAGTAGAATTGCTACCACAACATGATTAATTATATCTATTAATCTGTTGTATGCAGAATTAAAGTGCTGATCTTTTCATTAATATGCAAGAGATCAAGACTTGTGAAGAAAAAAAATATATACACCTTGTTACTTCTTGTAAAAAACATTCACACCAAGTGTGTCATGTGAATATTTAAACGAATTGTTAACTACAGTTATAAAAAAATGAATATCTTATTGTTGAATACTAAGTCAAGTTTCATGTCATGTATTCTTATAGTATATTTTATTGTTTCAAACGAATTTATGGACTACAAAAGTTTCCCACGCGCGTAATATGTGCAGATTACATTATGTATTGTCTGTATGGAAAACTCGTATTATCATGAAAAAATTTTAATACATTATGAATTCAATTGAAATATATTATATAATAGGAATTAGCACTCAAATATTTTAACAGATGAAAGATATTTTATGCTAACAGCGAATTTATCGTAAAAACAATTAGTAAAATTCTTTTAAATTTTCTCTATTTAAAAATTAAAGTAAAATTTGAGTTCCCAGAAAATAATGTTTTTACATTATTTTTATTAAATATAAATTTATTATTGATTGTATTTACTCAAAAATGTAAACTACATTTTTTATCAATTGTTTCATTTGTAAATTAAATGTAGTTATTTTTCAATCGGCGCCATTACGAACTGCACAAAATAAGTCTCCTTTGTGAATATATTATAAACGTATATATATATATATCACACACAAAGATATATTTTCTGAAGAACAATTTCATGTTGTTAAAGCCAAGCTTAATTTCTCACACTGATTGTAATGTAAATTGCTTGTACATAAGAAAAATCCATGTACAGAGACCATGGTTTCATATTATATTTTGAGTTGCAAGATCATTTGTAAAACGCAGACCAATGTACAATATTTTAATTAAGCATATATCATACTAGCAGAAATCGATGACAATACTGATTAAATGTTGTCTGCTCGTTAAGCCTACATAAAGAAGCGAGACCTGGCATGTAATAAAAAAGGAAAGGAGAGATATATGTATACACATATATAGATATACACATATATATGTATACACATACATATGTATATGTATATATATATTGACAGTTCAATTATGTAGATACATTAAAAAAAAAAGATCATACAGTCAATTGACTTTTGCGAATTGTATAGGTAAATGTAATTGTGTAGATAATAAATATTAAGTTTAATTGTCAGCATCTCTTGTTTATATGCTCATTACTAAATCTCCAAATATGACGTATACAGATCTAATTCTTTTTATCACTCCTTTAAACTTCTTGGTCTAGAATCATGTATTATAGTGCAACAAAATACATATTTCGATAGAACGTTTTAGGACGTGAGAGGTAAGACAGGTATATAGAATTGTAAAACAGTATATGTAACGTAATTTCATGTAATAATTTTATAAAAGCTCACCATTTGCGGTTACAAAAGTATCTCGTAAAATAAATTGATTCTTTATATATAATGGTTCTCTCTATAAAGTATAAAGTTTACAGAGTCCTTTCTATAAACAGTATAAAGTTTTACGCGCGCGGAATGTACAAAAATTTCACAAGAGGCCTTCATCTGAAATCTTAGCTTTGATTTTTATGTATTTATGTGGTTATACACGTTAGACACGGTTTCTTCATTTCACTTTGCAAGTAGAAGGTTTATTTCTTTACAGTTACATTGCTGCTCTCGATTAAGTTCTGAAAATTATTTCTCTTATCATTATTCGCTAGCACGTATGTAGAAAAAAAAAGTGCAATATTTTAGATAAACAAATTCTCAAATATTACCTTCAACTTGACAATATCCTGCTCCCAATCTCCACAGCCAATAATCTTTACTGCCTCCAACAGCACATTTATTATTTTATCAACATTTTGCCTGAATACAACCAGCACGTCGGCTGCATGAACATTATCTTCGCTTTCTCTCCAGCAATCGTAATCAGTCGCCATGGCTACAGCTGCGTACAAAAGACCTGCTTCTTTCGCTAGGAATACCTAATTCGGGTCAAAATGTAAACGTTGTATGTAACAGTCTTATCAAGATACATGTAGCTTATGTATAAGTTTATTGCGACATTTAACCTCCGGGCATATGGTCATGTTCACCAAATGTCCACCCCATAGACGCAGAGCGTTACTCTCTGCTTTCGATGAAAAGCGCGGGCCTTCAATAGTTATCACTGTTCCACCCTTTCTTATGTTGTATCCCAACTTTTTGGCTGCCTGCAACAGGATCTCCGACGTTCGCGGATCAAACGCAGGCTCCATAGGCATGTGGCATACTCCTGTAATTTTAAAGGCAACATATTTTATAGATTACACACGTAAAAAGATATGCATAATATATATACTTACCGCTATACTTGTCCGACGTTCCATCGTAGAATGTACCCTTCCTGCAATTAGTTCTATCTATAAAGCTATCAGGTACGACTAATTGTCCCCTACCGATAGACTCTGTCAACGATCCACACGCACTAGACGCCAATATGTGGGTACATCCAGCAAGCCGCAACGCTTCTATGTTAGCACGGTAATTAACTCCAGTGGGGCTAAATATGTGCCCCGCTCCATGTCTATATTGAATCAAGAGAGAATAACATCTTCATTAATGAGCAAGACATAACTTAAATCCCATTAAACAAACAAAAACATGAGAATGTTTAATAGAAGAGTTACTAAATGGAAAGATACATATTAGTGTACAAGCTTAGATTGCATACTTTAGAAATATAGAGATCAAAAGAAATTTTCACCTGGCCAATAGCACCACATTTACTCCATCGACGCATCCATGGTAAAGATTACTGGATGGATATCCGAAATCGTTCTTTGCATTCTCACGATTCGTGGTGTTGCTACAATTGAATGTTTTGCTTAGGCTCTCACCAAGACCCGAGCCACATATTATTCCTACCTAAAAAATATAAAAGTCTATCGATAATAACACTAGCACACATTTATTTTTACGCTTAAAAAAATGTTTTTATTTGTTGACTTTTTTGTCATATATAATATCGCAAATTTAATAATATAACCTAATATACCGTATAGCTATCTGTTTCGATGAGTGATTTTTTAAAATAATCGTTTATATTTTCGTGATTATAGTTAAAAATAATTAAAATACGTGTGACATGCGAATCGAAAATCCGGAAATCTTCCATCAAGCAATGTCAACATATATATTTTTATTTTTATAAAGTGAAAATTAAAATTCTCTTACCTTGATTTTATTTGCCATAATAGGAGATGTTTAATTTCTTATCTTGAACTCGCAGTTACTTGCAGTATAAAATTTTAACGTTTGAGAACGATTGCGTTAATATATATGACCGCGTGACCGCAGAATATAATTGATAATTGTGACGGTATGGTATCGGTATCCTATACTTAACCTCTCGTTCCCACTCTAGGAATGAAGTACGCCATTTGTAAAAGCCGAAGTGATAAAGTTTAAAATGTTTAAATTACTGATAAGTTATCTAAATGCGTTTATGATATATGCGTTGAATTTATCTCGATTTGAATATATGTCTCTCTGTTGATTCATATTTCTCGATTGTAGAGACGAAAAAACTTGATCTCTATTTATTTATGACAGTAGAAAAAGTTACAATAAATGTTTATTTTTATAACGTTTTCACTTTTTTCATATATCACAATTTAATTTTTTATATCGACAGGTAGGAATTTATATCTTGCATAATCAAATATGTTAAATTCATTTCATAAATAACAATTAATACCTACTTATTTAATAAATTCAATAAATCTCCGCTAAAATGTGGTTCGAGTCTCCACTAAGTGGGGTTCGAGTCTCTGCTAAGTGGAGTTTGAGCAGAGAGAGGCGTAAGACAATTATTTGTAGCAAACTTTACGCCAAGAATTTGCTACAAATTGTAGCCAAATTCCGAACAAACTTTACGCCAAGAGTTTGCACGGACGGACTAAATGACAGTGTTCGAATACAAGTGCGGGAGCATAAATTCTGCAATTATAAATCTCCGCTAAAATGTGGTTCGAGTCTCTGCTAAGTTGGGTTCGAGTCTCCGCTAATCTCACACGGAGCCACGTGTTATCCCACGCGTCCGCCTTGGCGCTTATGTTCGCTTGTAACTAGCGTCACCTGGCCGGCGTGAACTCACCTACACGAACTACGACGCCGTTGATTGAACCCGTCAGTGAATCAGCTGATCGCCTCGCTTACGTGGGAGAATCAGCTGTGCGCAACCATGGACGAGCTGATGAGCGAGGATCTCGAGATACCGCCCGTCAAATACGAGTGTGAGTATTTAGCGTTCGTATTTCTTTTCGATCACCGTTTCGTTCACTCTTTTTCCCGAAAATATTTCTGTCCATCGACATGTACTTTGGCACATCTTCGCGCGACGCGCGATTCTAACCTCGTAATCGTGCTTAGACGCGGCAGGTACCAAATTTCCAGGATATGACGCGAATCTCTTTCGCAGTCTCAGTCTCGGGATTATTCACGCGGAAATCCACGTTTTCTGTTACAGACCTGGATCACACTGCGGACGTACAGTAAGTATTACATTCGATTGTAGCGTCGACCGGCTAATCTTGAAGGTTACTTCGCCGGTTAACCTAAAAGAAGCGCGCGAGCAGTCGTGTGAAAACGCGTGGAATCGGATAGACTTTCGAAGGCTACATTCGCGACGGGGATCGATTCGGCGATGCGAATTACCGATTGTGTCTCTCAGATTGCACGCATGGGGCGACACCCTGGACGAGGCTTTCGAGCAGTGCGCGATGGCCATGTTCGGCTACATGACGGAGCTCGAGCGCGTGCAGATCACGCAGGTGCACCACATCGAGGCCGACGGTCATGACATGGAGAGCCTGCTCTTTCACTTTCTCGACGAGTTGCTCTTCATGTTTAGCGCCGAGCCGTACATAGTCGCCAAGGTATGACACTGTTGTAAATTGTATCAAGATAGATATATGCTAATAATAGTAATAATTAACAGCAGTAATAACTAATTTTTGATAGTGTTATAGAAATATAATTATATGATCCATATAAAATTTATGCTTTACATAAAATGACTCTTTGCTACTTATTAAAAATAATTCCTTAATATAATTTTTTATTCTCTTGGATTTATAATTAGTATAGTATATTACTGTGTATCAACTACGTACAATTATTACGTATTTTCGCTCGCGTGAATACGAAAACAATCGGCAAATAGTTGTTTTTGGTCGAATTACGAAGATCGCGAAACTATCCGCCTTTGCATCCAAAGCTAAAGGAGAAAAATCTCTGCACGTCTGTTCGCCAGAAAGTCAAGATTACCGAATTCGACCAGCAAGGATTTAAGATCAAGGCAACCGCGTACGGCGAGGAGTTCACGATTGGCAAACACACGCAAGGCGCGGAGGTAAAAGCCATCACGTACTCGGCGATGCAGATCAACGATCGGCCGCAGGTGGAGCGGCCCGAAATCTTCGTGATCGTTGATATATGATTTGACTCCTCGTCCACCGGTCGCACTGCACACGCACCTCAACGGTATTTTGTCGTAATTTTTTGATAATAAAAAACGACAAATAACAATGAATAACGCAGAATTTGATGCGTAAAAACTTCTTTAAATTGTATTCAAAACCATGTCACATATATCATTGGAAAACTCCACTCGTATATTTTGGCCTTCTCAATCTTTTTTCAGCGATACATATTAAATTTCATTAACAAGTTTTTTAAGTTATTTGTTTCACTTGTAACGTATTATGTTCCGTATTGGGTAAGAAAGACTTTCAATTTCAAGATTGCAAGCATGTACATTCTATACAAAACAAGTCATGATGTAACATAAACAAAACGGCAGATTAAACTTAAAAAACATTCGAAAAAAATTCTTGCGCAATAAAAAATCATTACTAATCACAAACTTGGTATGTCAGTTGACAGGTTTGAAAATGTTTGGTAACGCTCTAACACAACAGCGGGGGAAAAATGGTGGGGAAAAAGGGGATGACTCGGCTTGAACGGGGAGTTAGAGGGAAAAGTAGAGGGAGGCGGTCGAAGGGCAAGAAGGGAAACCGTATGCCTCCCCTACGGTCTACATAGGATGCGATCCTTTTGTACTTGCCTTGTAGGGTTCAAATAAATACGTTACGAAGAATGCACCGGGCTCCCCTTCTTCTTGGCTCGACTTGACTCAGGTGTGTATTAAGATTATCCAAACTCCCGAGAAGTGCGTGAATAAAAAAGCAGGAGATCTACTTAACGGTCGTTTGTAATAAAAAACACGTGCGACAGTTTTTATCGTTACAGATTATATATTTTTTTACTTGTTATTAAGCATTGCTAGTATATGATCGATACAACTGAATCTTTGTACTCTAGAATAGCTATTTCCTTTAAACTATGATTCTCCTTTAACTTCATTACACATTTCTTTCGCAGTGATCATGAAAAAAATGTAGAAGATATCATACGTAAATTGATTGCGCGCATATTAAAATAAAGTCCATTTTAAAGTCTAACTAATTTAAACTAGCATTTTACGCGATTTATTAACGTTTATAATATATTTCTTTGATTAATACTTGCCGCGTATACACATAATTATATGTTTTGTCTATCAACGTTGAAATAAAAAAAGTAATTTTGAACAGATCGTAGTTTTCTGTTATATAATTTAAATATAATTTATTATAGGAAGATGTAGTACAATACATCGTGTGTATTAACACCGTTCTTTTAAATATGCGATATTTACATGTTTCTATAAAATATATATAAAATATTGTATATTTTATAATATTATATCTGAATTATCCATATTGCTGTGTATATTTGTGTAACATAACATAATTGGAAAAAAATTGTATGTAAATTATTCTCATCTCTTGAAAAAATAATCTTGTTTAAAAAATATAACTCATTATATGTGTATGAAACCCCATTTCTCCTATGAAACACGTAGTGTCTATTTGATGAAATTTTATCGTTACACACTTGGTACGAGAAAATGCTCATGACAAAAGTGATAAAACGAGATCGGTTTTATTACTTGTTTAATCAAAATAAAAGTACGATTACGTTCCCGACTCGGCCATCGATTTCGTCGTTGTTTTTGACGGCGATCGACATTCTCGGGAGGGGCCCTGCACGCCTTTCGTCCCGCTACATTCCTGCAACTGAATGCCCCTCCATTCGCGAAGGAAGGGACGATCGTACGCGCGCCGCCGAGTTTCGGGCAAGACCGGGCGAGAAACGAGGGGCATCAGTGTCCGGCAGGCAGGATCCGTCGAAAGCGCGTGTGCGCAACGTACGCGCTTGTACACAGCCGTTGTCAAATTAATACGTCACTAAATTGCATAATTCCGCGAGTGCTGCCTGCGCAACGTTGTCCGTTCATCCGTTGCCCTTCCGTCCCCCCTCCGGATCCACCGCCGTGGCCGTGAGGCCCGGATTAAAGGGACCCGGTATCCGTCGGCATTTAGAGAGAAAGGGACAGGAAAAAAGGGAGAGAGAAGGGAGGGGGAGAGAAAGAAGGAAAACGAGAAGAGACTCACTTTGTTCGCCAACACCCCCGAGCATGGCGGACCGGTATGGTAATAGTCCCGCTCCGGAAACGCGGGAATGCTTGCGCGAGTGCTGAGAGTGAGTAACCGGTGCCGCGACGTCGACGAGAACGTGGGGACGAGCGGCTGCAGGGATATCTCTCGGTAGCAGCGTTATCGCCGTCGCGAGTGACGGATCCTCGACGGGGGGAGCAGTCGACGGAATTTTGGCGGGTAAACCAAGACGCGAAGCGACCGTCGTCGTCGTCGCCGTCGCTTGACGTAGACCGACTCCTGGCCGACAATCTCGACGAGAACTGTCGACGAAACGCGATGACGCGAGTGAAACGACACGGGACGCGCTCGTAATCGTGAGACAATAACGAGTCGATGTATCGGGTGGTTATTGCATGTCATTTTCTTTAGAACGGGTTATTTTATTGACAACTCGCTTGTGGATCGTGCAAATGTCGCGATAGCATCTATCAGAAAGGGCTCGGACATAACGGGTGTACGAGACGAAGCCAGTGGTGGCGGCGCGGCGCGGCGCGGCCCTCACGAGGAAGAGGCGGCGCGTCGACGGTTTTGGCGCGCGTATTTCAGCTGTCGCGTGCGACCGGCAGATGGCCGGTAACGCCGGCTCACGGACACGCCGCCGGCACGCACACGAAGACTCGACTACTGCCGTTGCCACTGCGGCGAGGGTGCCGCCGTCCGGTCGGGAGCGCGCGCACTTATGAAAGGCGGCGAGGAACGACGCGTCGTGTCGCCGCGTTAACGCGGACGCGTCCCCGCGAGTCCGGTCGCTTCGCGAAAGTGCCTTCCGCCTCCGTCTCCGAGTCTCTGCCTGAATCCAGTCGCGAGTGACGCGGTGGGGAGGATAACTGCAAAAACCGCCCTATTTCTGGTAAGTTTACACCTCGCGTCAAGTTGTTTTAAAGTGTCACCTGTCGAATTCTAAGTGAGAACGAGTGAGACAGAGAGAGAGATTTTTATCGATTATGAAAGCTCGTTTTTCCCGACGTAATCTCGAGGAAGCTTCACGTACAAGAGATGCAAGCGCACTAATATCATGACATTGTCCGCGCGTGACTCGCTCACACGAATACACTCGGAAGCGTCATCGTGCCTCTTTTCTCTCTCTTTCTCTCTCTCTCGCTCATACACGCGTACGGCGCGTACGCACGTTTAACGGGCTTGCGACGCATGCGTGCCGACACATTCACGGCGTCGCTTGTCCGCGCTTTTCCGCGGTCGCGCTGCCGCACAGCGCACATACACGCGCCGGCGGTGGTGGCGGGCGGCGCGACATGACGCGACGCGACGCGACGCGACGGTACCGACATTGCGGTCTCGTATACACCGACACGCATCACACACAGCTGGTGGTGGCGCGGAGGACCGGTACACCACCTCGCGAGAGAGGGCCCCCCAGACGTTCGCGAATACGCACGGACACGCGGCTGGTTCTCCGTCTGCTGCTGGCTTCTCCGCTCTCTCTCTCTCTCATTCCCTCTCTTGGCATCGTGAGCACCGGCGCGCGGCGCACGCGGCACACTCTGTTCGCTGCTTCTCGCTGCCCGAATCGGCCAGTCGTGCCAGCGCGCCACGGAGCCCGGGCCCCGTCCACATATTCAGTACGAAGGAACGAACGAGCCGACCGATCGCCCAGATCTTGCAAGCCGGGCCTCGTATGTGCACGCGCGACGAGAACACACGTAGAGAAAAAGAGAGAGCGAGAAGGTTCGTTTCTCCTTGCTCACCGGTCTCTCTCCTGGTCGGTCGGTCTGAGTCGAGTCGAGCCGAGCATGCCAAGGCGGGGCTCGCTCTGAGACCCTCAGCGAAACGTGCCACGCCGTGTTCTGGACAGTGAAAAACGGCCGAAAACATTCTCGATTCAGCGTACTTTTCTAGGGCGACGTGCGCCCTTCCGTTACGCGAGGAACCGCCTGCTCGCCTTGGGCTACCTGCTGCCTTGCCTTGCCTGCCTGCCTGCCTGCTTGCCTGCGTCGACCCGCCTGTGCGTAGCGTAACCGTGGCGGTGGCGGCGGCATCGGATCGCGCAGAAAATGGACACCGTACTCTAGCAGCAACAGCACGCTAGTAGAAACGGGCAGCCTCGAGAGAAAAAGAGAGACGCATGCCGGGAGAGAAAGAGGGAGAAATCGCAAAGTACGGCGATAGTATGTAAAGCCGCAGCGACGGCGACGATTACAACCACGACGACGAGATCGAGGGAACGAAGGGAAAGGGTGAGCGGGCGATAAAAATCCGAGGTACATCTCGAGGCGATCTACGGGCCGACGAGGAAGCGCACGTCATTTGGCGACTGTTTGTCGTCGTCGTCGTCGTCGTCGTCGTTGTTGTACGTCGTCGAGGCGCTCGTTCGTTCCGTCCGACGAGGAAAGGCACAATTTTTCTGAGATCAGGAGGTCATCCGGACTGGGGGATGCCCGGCTCCAACCGTCCTGAGACACGCGGCGCGCGCCGTGTGCTGGCCTGCTGCTGAATCTTCTCCCGGAAGAGAGCGCGGGTCTCCGTCTCAAAATACTGTGCGGCGCGGCGCAGCGCAGCGCACACGTTCGCGAGCAGCCAAGTAAGTAGAAAAAACCGGGAGTGTGCGAGCCGAGAGGAAGAGAGACGGAACGGCGGCGGCGACGGCGGCGAGCGAGAGAGCGGGCGGCATACCTCTTCGCGCGCCGACTTGCTACTTCCGTCTCTCTTTCTCGCTCTCGAGATCGATGCGTGTCGTAATCGTCGTCGGCGGCGACGATTGTTATAGCGACTTCCTAGCGCCGAAGCGCAGTTTTAGCGCGCGCGAACACAGGTCAGCACCCGGTCGGCTCGCGCGACGGAGCTTCACGGCGTTGCCCTTCCTCGATTCCGCCACCGGTAGAAAGCATTGTTTCGCTTCGATTGGGATGCATCGAAGGGAGCATCTTCGAAGGGAACGTTCCGGAGCAACGTGCGATCGCGCCGCTCCTTCGTGACGTGCCGGTAGCGCACCTTACCAGGGGGGATCCGGCGCGGTGTCGTCTTAGCTCTTTAAACGAGTTCGCCGCGACGGTGCGGCGCGTTCACGTATGCGCGCATACATATGCGGACGCCCTGCGTCCGCGTGTGTGAGCGCGCGTATCTCTCTCTCTCTCTCTCTCTTTCTCTTTCTCTTTCCGATGCCGCGTCGAACCGGCATGCGTGTGAGTACGTGCGTAAGGGAGCGGGGGAGCGCCCGTATGTACGCGAGCGCGTCGCGCTTCGGTGTGCGCGAGGTCGTGACTTCGATTCACGTTATTTCACCGGCGATCCGGCGCTAGATCGAGTTCCTCCAGATTCCGCGAACGCTCTTCTCGATTGACGTAAGAATGGCACGAAGAGGGAAACGTATGTAGTTCAGGCGAGAAGTAGTAGTTGCGTAGTTATTGCGCGAATGAAGGCGGCTTCGAAGGCGCGTTTATTCCCTTGCATTTTGCACTTGGACCTTCTCGCTCGTTTTTTTTTTCCGGTGCCTAAATATATGCGTGTTTTTTTTTTTTTTTTTTTGGACAGACGGAAAGGCAAAACGAACGTATCTCGATTCTCGCAAACGTGATGCGAAAGTGATCGAGGCACGATATTTGATTGTTCCGCCAATAGAGAAGCATCACTTCCCTCCGCTCGCGCGCCATTGGCCGTTATCGTAGCACGAGTAACGATACAGCGCTTTTCCTCGGGGTCTCGCTCTCTTTCGAGAAGGAATCGAGAATTCTGACAATCGACGAGAGACGCGAGAACGCCGGCGGCGGCAGCGGCGGCAACGCATGGCCTTCGATCGATGTTAACAGCTGATTGCGCGCTACGTCGGGCTAGGACTGTGCCGACTGTGGCACCACTCGCCAGGTTTTGATAAGAGAAACGAGAGAAACGCGAAATAAAAAAAGAACCAAGTTTCAACATTCGGAAGTTCGCTTAATTGGCCAGTTAATTCTAATTGTAAGACTGCTCGCACTTTTTACGTACGTGGACTGCTTTGACGTCAGATACTTCCGGCAAACATAATTGCAATTTTTAAAAAATGATTCTCGTGTGTGCAGTCCTGCAGTTAAAAAAATTAATTTTTTGTTAGCAAAATTAAATCAGGGGCAACAAAATGTATAGTTGAAAATTTATGCTTTAAGGCAATTCTGTCGGTTGAATCAATCGCTGATTAAATTAATCGAGATTCGATCGAAGTCACCCTAAAGGGAGCCTGGCTAGCCTGCTGGTGTCGATAGAGCTCGCGACCTAAGACCTTTGCGAGCGGAAGAACGAAATAAAGGGGCAGGGAGACAGAGAAAGAGAGAGAGTCGGCCTCGTCACATCTGGCCGCCTGAAGCCTCGTGCACACGAGACACATTGCGCATTCGTTTGCATCTTCGCACAGCGCACGTCTCGTGAACGCCTGTCGCCGCCGCCGCCGCCACACCGTCGTAGTGGCGGCGGCGGCGGCGGCGTTTCCTGTCTTCGGCGCACTGAAGACCCGGCGTTAGTGCCCACATCGTGCCCGACTGCAAAACATACGGGGAAAAGTACGTGAAATCGCCATTGTCGGCGGCTATTAATAACCTCCGAATTCGGAGCTTTAATTCTTCCAGTAAGTAATCGTATAGGACTTTTTCGCGTTCTTTGCCATTCGCAAAACGTGAACAGTTTCCGGGATTGATGTTGGTGCGACGCACTGTCGATTCTGTCAACTCTCGCCAATGTGACCTCGCGCCGGGCTTGACTTGACGGGCCATCCCCTTGAGCGACCAATCAACGGACGGGAAGACAAAAATTAAATGATCTCATCCTTCGCGTCGAGATAAAGAGATACGTGAACAAATAGTTCCGACATTGTCTTGTATTAAAAGAAAAAAAAGAAAACAGTTGTTTGTTTAATCGATGCTGCATTACTTTTGCAACCGATGCGCTATGCGCTATACTTCATACTTTCGAGATAACAGCTGACCAATCAATGACTCCGCGTCATGCATTGCTCCCAACTTTCTAGGCATAAATCGCGTTGGTCTCGAGAGATCCCACTGATCCCAGTAGCTCTCACTAGTTGATTGTGTATCCGGCAAAAGACTCAAGTTGGAGTCAAGACTGGAGTTACTTTAATTTTATCGATATCATAATATCAGTTCTTAATGTTTTCTCTCGATTTACATGTTTGCATTTGGGATATGCCAACGAAACTGAATAAACGCTACATAATGTTATTAAATAATTTTTAAGTTATATATAGTCTCCAACACATTATCAAGCTTAAAGTTCGTTGTGTACGTCTGCTGTGTACAAAATTATAAAAAAAATTATATATCTCGAAAATGTGATCCATTTAAAGACAAACGTATTACAATAATTATATATTTATATTGATTTGTTACTCCAAAATAACGTTATCAAAATTTTCTGTAATCGTAGTTGAGTAAATCACAAATACAGGCTGGAGTATTTTCGAGCAGCGAGCCATTTCTTTAAATCACATGCGGAATGATTGTCTTGTCGGAATGCTTGTTCTTTTTTTTTTTTTTTTTTCTAAAATTCTCCGGGCCGAGCGCACCATGGGTCCATTCAGACGCATACCAAGCGTTTGCTATGTGAGGCCCTTAAGTTAGTTCATTCGATTTATATAATATTCTTTTTTTTAACTTCTCTTTTTATTATATTTGATTACTTCTAGATTTCTCTATTTTCTTTGATAATCTTTTTAATCATTGCAGCAATTAAATAATGAAATATAAGATTCACACGCAAATAAAAGTAATTAATTTTTTTTCGATTAATTATTTTTGTGGTCAATTTTTTTATTTCTCCCGCATAATAATTAACAAGAGCAAAGAACTATTTATAGGTACAATATGTACATTGATTCTCATATTTAATTACGTTTTTCAAATTCACCGAATTCTGTTTTCTCACTTGGTATAGTAACAATTTATTAATAAGGCAGAATAAAGAGTTAGTCTTCAAGTTTTTCTGATCAAATTGAATATGAATATTGCTTGATCGAGTTGAAAATGTGGCTTGACAACCGCTATCGTAGAACAGAGAAACAAACATATAACGTATTTGTATTCGGTAAAGAGCCATACAAGTGACTACGATATTCGCTCAGTGCGCAGTCTAAAGTTATGCCGAATTACATATTGTGTTTGTCGACCGGGTGAAGAAGACCGGTATTGATCTTATTGTCAATATTAAAATCACAGCTATCTTTATCGTGTCACGTTCTCACTTGCGTAGACATCGCATCTCGCAAGATGCTACCGATACGACATTTACGTGATGTTTATACTGACGCAGACATACTTACGCGAGAAATGACTTTCGAGAACGTAATCTTCTTTATTTATAACTTCTGATGGATATAAACGGTGTCACGTGTAGACGCTTTAAGTTGACACACGACGAACGAATCTGTAAGCACGAGAAAAGTACTATTTCACGCGAATGTGTCTTATATCTCTCGATCGCCGAAAGTTATACCCCGAATCTATCTTTACCGTAAATTTGTAAATGCGCGCGAATCTTATTTTTAGACAACACACACACACACAGGTCGGGCAGAAGATAGCTGCCTAATTGCACAGCTAAAAGTACAGGCGACATTTGAAAGTATCGGATCTTGATTAGGTATCGACGATTAACGACTTCGAACTTATCAACAAAATACTCCAGTAATGATGAGACCAATGTTATACGCTTTCGTGCCTTTTAAAAGATAACGACGCGAGCGATCAGCTGTGTGCCGGCATTTTTGAATACCGAGAAATAATTAAGGACCGGAATCGATTTCGTAAATTTGACTAGCTTCGACGCAGCAGATAGACGAAAATGTGCGTGATTCTATTATTTAGTTATCTATTTCAAACTTTAAAGACACTTCGAGATTGAAGCAAGATTTTTCTTCTTTTCTCTCCCCTCTTTTTCTATATATATTTTGTTTTATTTTTATTTATACACAATTTCCTTGAAATTTGATATACATATATATAAGCCGGGATTTCTTCAAATTCAATTTTATCTGATCTATTAGTTTCTCGAGTTCTATTTTATTGGATTCTCTCCTTGCTCTTTCAAGTTTCATGTACATTCGAATTTAACGGAGTTATATTCGCTCTTTGTCGCGTTTCTCTTCGGAACGCGAGCGGGAATCGAATTTTCTCCCAACTCCCGTCCGTTTCTTCCTTGCTCCTCGCAGTCACTTTCATTGGACTCTCGCGCGTTTCGTGCGCGTCCGACCTAAAGTACACGGGCGCCGCGCAATCCGATCGCGCGCCTTCCGCCAAAGACAGGCGGTCGGAGAGCGAGCGAGAGGACGAGAGAGAGAGAGATGCTAATAACGTACACGTAGCATTGCCTGACACCGCTGGTGCTCGCGTCGCCCTTATTATTTCCGTTATTACCCGTGGTGTATGCTCGCGCGCGCACGCGTGTGTATACAACACGGCCGTCGCCCGACGATCCGGTGTGCGTCGTGTGCCCGACGGACAGGTCGCCCGTCCGTCGTCGACGCGACTCATCTTTTCCCTCCCCCCCCTCCCCCTGTTCTCCCCCCGCCCGCGAGAACTGAAAAACCTTGGGATTTAAAAATGACACTCGCCACCGCGACCGCACGTGTAACGCGCGCCGAGCTACACGCGCGCGCGGCGAGCAGCAGCGGTTAACGGCCGAAAATGCGGAGTGCGCTTGGAAATAGGTCCGTGTGCCGCCGTTATCGGCAATCCTCTTCCCTCGCCGAGGCCGAATGGTCGGTTGTGTTGACGATAACGACGCCGATCGCGAGTTTCACGCGGCAGGAAATGTCTCGCGTATACGGGATTAGCTTACGCGTTTCGCTCGCACCCGCGGATCTGTGATCTCGTCGAAATGCGTCTCGATCGCGTCAATCTGTTGCATTTCGCGTGGTTGAGGGTATATCACATCGATATCGTTTCCTGCTTGTTACGTATGAATGAATTCTATTTGTCTTGTAAATTACTTGAAGATTAATATTTTGGCGTTTCAGACAGCATGATTATTTATTTAGCAAGTAATCGATGTACGGCTTCGTAATTTGACAATTATACAATTTTATGTGTGTGTGTGTGTGTGTGTGTGTTTCAGACGCAATCATATTACCAGAATGCCTCGGATAAGGAGACAAGTGATCCTGGAGGATCCAGCCAGGCCAGTTACTCCGGACATGGTGGAGACGAAGTTGTGTGAGTCACTCTTGCAGAGAAAATAATCCAAATTCCACATTTATTTTCTTACTGTTAACTCCTTCCGAACGATATCTTTTCTTTTACAGTGAAGTCCGAGTTCCTGGACGATGGTTCTTTAGATGAAATCCAACCTCAAAAAGTAGCGGAAGAAACACCAAGCCCACATTTACAAGATCATCAGTACGGACAGACGCCGTGTTACCAAATAACGAGGAAACCCACACAACCACCACCAAGAGCTGAGGTAAAATGATTGATGAGTGATGGTAAATTGACGATGAGGTAAAATTTCTACAGTAATCAGATTTCTCGTAGTAATCTTAACATGCATATAAAAATATCGATAGGTTGATTTGCCCGAAGGCATTAAATTAATATGGTACTTGACTAATCAAAGCTGCAATTTGCCTTTCTTCTCGGCAGATATCGGTTCAAGCGGTAAAAAGAAGACTGAATTTGGAGGTAGGGACAACTGGTCCCAGCCAGTCTGCCTTCAAAACACCCAGAGGTAAACGCAGAAGATCCGGCTCAAATTCTTTAGCCGGTCACACGCCCACTAAAAGTAAATGTCTTTATGCTTTGCGACCAAATTTTCCTGCAAATTTTTTTGCGTGTCATCCACGAAAGGAATCGTTTGTTGCATTGCAGGTAAAACTGTAGAAAGGACACGATATGACACGTCGTTGAGTTTGCTCACAAAAAAGTTCATTCACTTAGTCGAAAGCAGTCAGGATGGTGTGGTGGACTTGAATATAGCCTCAGAGAAGTTGGAGGTACAAAAACGTCGTATATACGACATTACTAATGTTTTAGAGGGCATCGGTATCTTAGAGAAGAAAAGTAAAAACAATATTCAATGGAAGTACGTTATCTACTAATATTTTATATATATATCTTACAGTTTAGCCATATCTATATCGATATAATCGGATTATTACACTCGAGACGCTAATTGATTGTTACAGAGGCGGTCTGTTACCGAACAATCGGAACGATATCGCTAATCTCAGACGGGAGGTCGCAGATTTGGAAGCTAAAGAGAACACCCTAGATCGATTGATTCACGGTGCCGATAAGAACCTTCGCGAACTCTGCGCGGACAGACAATACGCTTATGTGACGTATCATGATTTACGTTCAGTCTCAATGTACAAAGACCAAGTTATTATGGCTGTGAAAGCCCCCCCGGAAGCTACCCTCCATGTCCCACAACCGATCAATAACTTTGGTCAACAAAAGGTAAAACATCAGTAAAGTTTGATAATATTTATACGTATTTATTACATTCCAATTGCTTTCTAATGTCAAGAGAAAAAAATATTTTGTATTCTGATAAAAAAATATTTACGTTACTATACGTTTTTATATTTCAATGTTATTAATATTTTTAGCTTCAAATGCACATGAGGTCGGAACACGGAGAGATAGATGTATTTCTGTGTCCTGAGGATCCCACAGTCAAAACATTATCCTATCCCGGGTATGCGACAACGCAATCTGTGCCTCAATCAAAAGAATCCGATATACCTTGTTTGCCTCCTGAATTGTTGGTTAATCGAGAAAGCGACGAGCGAATTGAGCCAGTACCTTCCGATGAGAGTTTCATAAATACTCGTCTATGTACCCCTGTACCTACAGTTACCAGTATGAAGGATGCATTCTTATACGAATCCGATGATTATGGACCAATGGGCGGTGGCAAATTCCAACTCCAAACAGAGGACCAAATCAGTTCAGGTAAGATTAGAAAGAAATAATGCTTGTTTATTGCTTTCTCTCTTTCTTGAAAAAAGCTTCCTTCGTATTTTAGATTAATAGCCGATAAAAATTGTTAAATTAATTTTATAGGAAAGTAAGTAGGAAAATATTTTATTTTTGAGCTTTTCTCAGTAAATTATTAATATCCTCTCTTTTCTTTCTTTTGCGAAACAATTTCTATTTAGTATATATTTTATTTTGCTCGCATGAGAAAATTGTTGTCACATTTTTAATTTTCTAAATTGTGTCCTTTTCATCAGTCATATTTTAAAGTCTTGGATATTCTTTGAAATTATACAACGTTATGAATCATGTTGTTAAATTGTATATATTAGAGTACGTAATTAAACATAATAAATTTAAATATATTATAAAACAAATATATCATGGAAAATTGTAAATTTTTTTGTTATATAATTTTTCTTATTATCAAATATATTAATATTTTTTTGGCAAAATCTATTTTGTAAATCAAATATTTTATTCTTTTTTATTTAAAATATATACTCCTAATATTAAAGATCAGTTTTTTGAAGAAATAGCAGTATTCAATTATGTGATAATACATAGAATTCACAATTGATATTCAGGCTATTCTATTTTCTTAATCATATTGAATTATGACATCAAAAATGAAGCGAGAAATTATTTTTTAATTTTTCTTTGCACTATAACTATACGTTAAAATAAAATTAATTTTTTTATGTTATTCTATTTTTATGATAATACAGATTGATAAAATATACTAAAGATAGAATATATAAAATATACTCTCTTCTCAATTTATCGATTAATAAACAGCAATAATTTTTAATCAACTGTCATAAAGCTCATTTTTACAAGAAATTTGAGATAGATGTAAATTATACAAGCGATAAATTTATTAATACAGGATAATTGAGAAGAAAGTTTCCAATATTTTATTTTAATGTATAGTATAAGGAAAAAAAAGAGTTAATTTTTTACTCTTCATATTTATAATTTAATATTTTTGTTGATATTTTAATAAAAATATATTGCTTTATATTATCTTGTTATATATTCTGCGTATATTTTTCACTTAATACATATTTATATTTTACTTGCGCAAAATTTCTAACGCTTCATTTAGTTTAATGCTTTATGCTTTGTACATGTTGTATTTTTTTTTTAATAAAGTATTTTTAAACTTTTTGGTCTCTGTATTACTAAGAAAATTCCGCTTTATTAGACGTTCTTTTCATCGAAATTTTCGCACAAAAGATATTACGTATATGTGAGATAATTATCTTGTAATTGTTATATTTTTTACATCCTTTCTCTTTTGAAAAGAACGTTGCATGTTACAATTTTATAATCACTTGTGGACAAATATTATTCAAAAGAAAGGTAATGGAAGGTAAATATTTTCATGTAATTCATTATCCCATATTACCTTTTTTTTGAATATTTCACTGTCTTTTCACCAATGGATGATGGCCGTACCCTGATGGAGCTCTGGCTGTGACTTGTGTGTTAAAATTATCAAAATCACATCACAGGCAGAGTTCTAGTTAGGTAACGGTTTCAAACAGCAAAGCTCGTGTCGTGCAAAGGTACGTTCATCTATACTAACTATTGGCCTCTATTATGTTTTATATGATGTTACTATGTTAATATTATCACACAATACATGGATATAAAACACGATTTTATAAAAGGAAAATTCTTTTTATTATAATTATTTCTGAAAATTTTGGGAGGAAATTTATATATATGTAATTTGGAAATCAATATGATCGACCCGAATTTTGCAGCACTTCTTTACTTTGATTCCACAAACAGCAATTTTCTTACTAAATTTCTACTATAGAAACATTGCCGCATTGTTACTTTCAAAACTTATTTAATAAATGCTTATAAGCGTATTTGACAAACTGCTCTTAACATATAATTTTAGACACTAACAATACATATTCTTTAACCGCTTTATAACTGATTGCAAACTTTTTAAATAAAATATAAGTGCTTGTGGTGCAAGAAAACTGAAGTAAATTAGATATTCTGCATTACTTTGACGTATATTTTTTAATAATATAATTAAGAATCTGTCCTTTGACGCGTGATTCATTTAAATATTATAAAAAATTTTTATATGTATATCGAAAACTTTCTGTTAAATAATTGTGAACAAACAATCTAATGTAAATGATATTGAATTAGATATTATAGCAAGTCCATTATTCGCCTTACTTTTGTTGCAGATCTGAGTATTCTTGATTTTGGAGAACAACTACTGACTTTGGAACCACCTCTCTCTGAAAACGACTACTCGTTCTCGTTAGGCACCGAGGAGGGTCTTTCGGATCTCTTCGATTTTAAATTCTAGGAATATCGCCGCTTATTGCACGGACGTTCGTGTCTTTTTGTGGGATGTTCCTCAAACAGACGGAATTGCTTCGTCAGTTTTACAATGCGCCTTCGCGTTACATAGTGATGATTGGCAGTTTCGTTCCGCGCGTCGATCTTCGCGAGAAATTGTGAGCATGCCAAGACGTTTTCATTTCTTCGAGCACATAATTTTCTACCTGGAATTATTTTCCATATTTTTTATACTTATAAGTATAGAAAAACATCAAGCTTAAAAGAGGAACAATAAGATAGTCGAGGCGCGCCAGAGGCAATTTCATAAATTTTGTAGAAACCAAAGAGATCATGCATGGAATTCATCATATTTTTCCGTAACATGATTTTACACGGTTCGTTATTATCTGTCTCAGATAAAAATTACAATGGAATGTTATTAATCTGCCTGCGCTAGAATATTTTAAAATTTTGCGTTTTTTTTTTCGCACTCGTTTTATTCCGGTTTCGTAGTCGTATCATTTTATAATTTCTTATTGTGGATTACAAACTCTGAATGTGAGAGAGCCGAACTGCCGAGGCACAAGATAAACATATCAATATTGTTAATGTGTGCTTCCGGCATGATATGATCTGCGTTGATCACGTTTGCGGAATGGATTGCAAAGATATTAAACAAAGAGACAGGAGAGAAATGAAAGAGGAAAGAATGTGTTTGTGTTGCGTGTATGTCTGTGTCTGTGAGCGTACGTGTGTAAGGAGGAAAAAAGAGAAGTTGAAAAGCGAAGGCGCTTTTTCGTGCAATCTGTAATAATATTGTAAATTGCTAAGAGGAATAGAAGAAAGAATGTATTTGGAAATTCAGAGAGAGGACAGACTGTACTCGTGTTGGACAACGATCTAATTGCTTTCTCGTAGTTGTCCAACTGTAAAATGAATTGAGACGGTTAAAGTCATCGAATTCTTTCTGGTACAAAGTTTTGTTTGTTGATGAGAGGGAGAGGGGAAAGAGGGATTGTGCGAGGATTATTTCATGCGCGAGCGTGAAAAACGACTGCGTGAGTATTATTGAGACTCAGACGATTTCTTAAATTATATGCAACCGTAGAGTCCGTCGTCCTCCTCGCCCCCCCCCCCTTCCGGACGATGTATGTGTTTTTTTTAACAGATACATATTGCCTTGTTAATAATAAACCGTTCGACAGTACGGTAAGTCTTATTTCGCGTGCTTTTGTAACTCCAATCGGTCGAATGGCAAATCAAGATAAATAAACGTCGTTTTCCGTTTTAAATACGTTATTTTATTTCTCGTTATTCAGTGGGAGGTAAAGGGATTGAACGCGATAACCAGTAATCGTTTTATGACGATTATATTACTTAGCCGATTATAGAAGGGGGTCACACGCTAATCAGCTTTTTATCAATGTCACAAAGACAAAACGTAGATAAAGTCAAAATATGCACACGTACAATGGACGAAAAAGAAATGAGTGAAAGATCTTAGACTGTATTGTCATATTTAAATGCGTATTTAATCCCAATTCGCAACGATCATATTGTCTAAGATCCTAAGATTTAAGGCGCAGTACTATTCCGAACTTGATGACGGGATTTTTTTAAAGAGAGTTTCTTGCCGGTGAACGCTTGAATGTTATCGAGTAACGCGGTGCTGGATTTGTTTTATCGAACGAGATTCGTGTAGAGATACCTCTTCTTGTTCCTCGAGATCTCAAGGATACACTGGTAAAATTGTCTGGAAGTCCCTCAAGGATGTACCCTAACGTACAACTTAGTGTACGTCCAAAGCCATAGTGCCTACAAAATAATGATCATACCCTTCTGCAATTGTAAATACTTTACAAAACAATTATACAAGTGTAAGCTCGCATCATAAATATACGTATGTATACATTACATACTCCACACACATGCACGCACATATATATGTACATATATGTGTGTGTGTAAAAAAAAAAAATAACAAATCAATAGATATTGCGAACATTTCGTTATATGTAATTATATCATAAAAATACGGATTAGTTATTTTTAATATTATTAATATTATTAATTATTGAAACACATTAAACAAAATATTATAGTTTATAATTTCATTCATTATATACATATGTATATATACACATATATATGTGTACATGTATGTGTACATGTAGTGTGTATTTACATTTATAGCGATGGAACGTTGTGCAGGATAACGAAATTACCTGTTGCATTAAATGCTTATTAAAATTATTTGAAATATCTTACAAACTTATTATGTATAATGAATAATTAATTTATTTGTATGTAACTTTATCTGTAGTGCGATAAATCCACATTTATTTTTTTAAGATTCAGGATATATATATATATATATATTAAACCCAGATATAATATTTCTCTTTATTGGATTAGATTATTTTTCGAAATGTCTCAATAAAGTCGCTATAATTACATATTGTTACAGACATGACTGAAAATAACTGTGGAAATGAAGAGAAAGCTCCATAACGATGTGACTTAATCAACATCGCCATTGTAGATTGTTACTTTGCACAATGTTCACCGCATTCCCGTTTGCGATAACCGGGAAGAATTGTATTAATCCTGTTTTCATTTTCCATTTACACTAGCCGGCATCGAGCGCTTTTTTTATATGGCTACGAGAAGATGAGAGGATGAATAGGAAAGTGGAGTATGTGCGTTGTATATGAAAGCGAGAGAGAGAGAGAGAGAGAGAGAGAGAGAGAGAGCATGAGTGTGTGAAAAAATGATTATTAGTTCGCCATCGTGAGTAGTGTAGATTTTGCGACACGCGTTTACGTATACGCGCTTCTTTCGATCGGATATATTTGAAAGACTGTCCGAAATTGATGGCAAACACGATTAAACAGTGATCGATCATCGTAAAGAGAAGAAACAGAAATTGAGAAGCTAAAAGAGGACAAAAGCTAAAAGAAGAATTGAATGATGTATCATTATGACGAATGAACATTTTGTCATGTTTTAATGGGTCCGGCCCGCTAAAAGAACACCGCAGGGAAGAAAGTTGCAAAATATAATCTTATGTAACATCGTACAGAAATGTGCATTATTATTTCATTCGCACAAATCCTGTTGGCTAATTTAACCCACACGGATGTAATCGTGTCCGACTTGCATCCGATTTCATCTCCGTCACAAGTCTTCTATCTAGCCCAGGTATTCTTTCTCCAAATAGCCCCCTAACCTTCTTATCTTTGGTGAAAGGAATAACGACCTGGTCAGATGGGTTCCTTCATCGTTCCTGCCTTGGCCAGTTTAACCACCTTTTCGTTACCTTTTTGTATCCAAGTATCCATAGGGTCTTTCCTTATTTTGTTTAGCGTCTGCATGTAGTACCCAATCAGAAAAGATTTAGAAATGGATTTAAACTAAAAAAAAAAAATTGATTTTAGATTTATTAAAAAACTAAAAAGATATTTAATTTGAAGGTATTATAATATGTAGAATAAAAAATATAGATTTGAAGTTTTAAATATTTTTATAACTATAGGGACAAATATTTTCCGCCCAGATTAATTCGTTTTTATTCTTGGGTTTCATTGCATCTTTGACGAAAGCTCATCCTCTGAAGCTGAAACGCCTGCAATTCATTACAGTTATAATTCATACTCGGTACAGCTGAATAATTTTCAACTTCAATTTATTTTGATTTTGGACCACGAAGCTTCTATTATTGATTTATTGATTATTCATATTGTACAAGTCTTTCGAAACTTACAATAAACGGAGCTCTCAATAGCTCCGATTCGCTGGTAGGTCGGCGCATTAGAAAATATAATTCCATAAAAAAAGGAAGGATACGGGAAGGGAAAGTCAAATAGACTTACTATATAATGAAAAGTAATAAAAATAATCCCATCCGTGAAACGTGAGAGTAATCGTTAAAATAACGTTGACTTTCAGTACGTTGAAACGAAGCTCTCTTTAATCGTCGTAATCGTTCTCCCAAAAAACGAGTATTATTGTACAAAGTATACTAGCATATTAAGTATGCATAGTACGCAAGTTACGTTATTAATTTGCATACTACGCACGCAATTTGGGGATAGGTACAATGTTAAATGTATGTGTCATTATCTTGCGTACAGTGGTAAACTTGATATTCTATACGTTTATGGTTGTGCCGTGTTGTAATTATGACAATTTATATAGAAATTACATACAATTATATTAACGCGTTATTAGCTTTAGAAAGATGTGTTTGGGTGTGCGCGTGTGTGTGTGTGTGTGTGTGTGTGTGTGTTTTAGGAGGAATTATATATCTACAAAATTTTTCAATCGGCCATAAAATTATTCGTTATTCGGATGACTCGCTTCTGTGTCTCATCTTTGAGACAGATACAATATAATATCTTCTTCACATATCATCAATTATTTCAGATAAAAATTATTTAATCAGAAGAGGTATTTAGGAAATAGGAAATGGTTTCTCAGGGAATAACAACTTTCTTGAGAATGTTATCTTACCTAATATCACCATATATTAAAACTCATTATTATCCGCGTTGCAATAAAAGGAAAACTGGAAAATATTTCAAAACTATTATATCTTTTATGCTGGACAATTGTTATTCAAACATTTGAATTTCTGAAATATATTTTTGACAGAAATAAAATGACAGAAATAAAAAACGTTTTGAACACACACTTTGAAATTTAAATTACGAATTATTTTAAAAATCGATTAAAGCACAAGATTTCTCTTGAAGTAATGTAGTTCGATAATATTGAAAAAATTTTTAGAAGAAAAATTGAAAATAATGATGATCACAAATGATAATAAGATATTTAATATTAAGAATTAATATTACAAAATTATGAGAAAGAGGGAGGTTAAATTATCTAATTAATTCTCTAGAAATGTTGCTTACACTCGTTGCAAAAATCGAAATGATTACTGAATGCAGTTTTAAATTCTTTTTACATGACTTTTTAATTAGGCAAAAAAGTCAATTTAAATAAATAAATGATATTATTCTTGAAACAATTGTAAAAATTTTTTATAAACAAGAAGTACACAATATATCGTGTATGCTTTCTGAAAGTGAATAACGTTTATCCGAAACAATTCTTTAATTGATGATAAATAAATATTACGTCAATCAGCGATGAAGGTGTTGGATGTTATCTTTGTTTAACGTACGACGCTTTTAGCTATTTTATCTAAAGGATTAATTAGAATTACAATATTATATACATAAAAGAGACGCGCATTGCGTTGGCACAGCAAAGATGTGTGCCCGGACTGCCATCCAGCGCTCAGCAGGAATTAATTAATATGATTGACATACATTTAGATTTTTTGAACTTGCTTTCGTTGTGCTCTTTCAATAGTTGCGTGCCAATTAAGAAAAATACGTATCTATTTCGTTCGAAAAACATTCAGTAACTGTACATAGAAATTTTCTCATGCTAATTTTATTCTGTCTGAATTTCTTTTGTCACACAAAAACAGCATAAAAATATAACATTATAAACAAAACTCATTAAAGTTCTATGGTTTTAGCGACTAAAAACTTTCTCTCCGCCAAAACATAGGATTACCTTAAAATTAAATTGAAAGTTAAGCTTGCGAATTTTTTGCACAAATTATGTATACGTTCAAATAACTCAGTTTTACTTTCTGAAAATGACTTTCTAAATATTTAGATAGTACAAGATGTATATTCGATTAATTAAATAATACGCGTTCTTCGTGTATTGCTCCAAGATGTGACAAGTCGCCGGTCTATTGGAAGCAACGCTTCGACACGGTGATGTAGAATAAACAATTTTAGTTTGAATCGTTTTTATCTTTATTTCTCAGGTATGAATAAAAAGACATTAATTAATTATCTACATGTATTATCGACTTTCCTCGCAGCACCGCCCACTGCCAGGTCAGTATTTATTAAACGGTTGGCAGTCCCGGCTTTAATGGAATGTCGCGATTATATTATCTAATTAATGCGAGCGATACAGTCTACGGCTACCGCGTCACGTAATTATACTGTCTTCGTTCGTGCTTCATATCATCACGCTCGTCGCATTATTCACGTTTCCTTTCTCCTATCGCAATATACCAAATAATAATCTAAAATTATAAAGCCGCCCGATTTTATATTGTATTTACTAACAACGATGTCGCTCTCTCGCATTTGCGCAAGCTAGATGTATCTATGTATATTGCCTCTTTATTTCAATTCTTTAAACTAACTGGTTAAAATTCTGTACATTGACTCTCAACTTGGTTTCCGCTGGTCCAAAT